AAGCTCGACTCCTTCACGGGCCTGCCTCACACCGCCCATGTCAGGACTCGCGGGGTCTAGGAAGGGCCGTACAGGGCCGTACGGGAGCGGTGCGGGCAGATACAAGTGGCGGCCATTTCTCCAATTTTTGCGCTCTTTTGCGCTGCTGCGAGTTTGCGCGACGGGCCTTTGCTCCCGTCCGTTGGGACAGGCGAGAAAAGCCCACTTGGCCAAGCCCCGTTCCAGCAAACGGCAGTGCCGTGCATGGACGCAGCCGGGTGAGAAGGACGAGCTCGCAAGCGTGGTTGGCTCCCTGGTGCGGAGCCTGGCTTGCTCGCGGTGCCGGGATGAAAAAGGGGAGGGGGGGAGTGGTTTGGAGGCGGTAAAGTTTAGAGGCAAGACTGGGATAGTCGGTGGATTTTTTTGCGCAGGCAGGCCATGTATGGAGATGACGGAACTGGAGGGGCGTCTCTGGACTTGGCTTGCTGCGTGGTGATGGAGTGGCGATGGGTTGGAAGGAAGGAGAACAGGTGGGCTTGTCTTTTTCCGGCGATGGATAGAATATGTAGTAGGTCAGTTGAGTCGCCCCCTCGCGGATCAACCGCCCGGGAAAGAGGAGTATGGGGTATCGAGTACAGGGTACAACGAGTCAAGGTCATCAACGAGGGATGTGGTGCTTGAACCCCAAGGAAAACAACACACATACATACATGATGGGCAGACTTGGGCCTCGGGGGGGGCGGGCTCGTCGAGACGGTGCCGGCCCTCTAGATCATGTCATGACTTGTGGCGTTTTGTGGCAGCACCTTCTGGCATCATGTTGAGTGTGTGTATTGTGCAAGAGACGAGAGGCATGAGTCACCGGACGGGGGCTCTAGAGCCGCATCGACCGACAATACGCTACACAATACACAGGCGGTTGATTCAACGAGGATCCCGTGACTTGGCGCAGCGCGGGGCTTGCTGTCTCACGCGTCGTCTGGTTGGGCCAAGAAGCCGTTTGCGCGTCGACAAAGTTGACCAGAGTGTTTCGGGGCCAAGATGAGACATGGGCCCGGATCTGGGAGCGTTCCTGCATGCCCGAGGTCGAATCGGACATGACGCAGGTACACGAACGAGCTGGTGGGCTTTTGTTTCAGCAGCCGTCCGTCGTCTTGTTCGCTTGATATTCGTGGACTCGACGTTGCGGCCTGCCTCGGGGGGGACCACCATGTGTTTTCTTCACACCCCCTTTGGCATCGGACCCAGGGCACGTGGTTGCTTGAACCAAACGGAGCGAGAGAGTCCTAGATACAGCCCGTCGTTGGTCTTTTGTCTTTGGTACTTTGTGCTCGGGGCGTCTCCTGGTGGCGAAAAAGAAGGAAGAAAATAATAGGGAATCCGTCTCGTCAAGGCAAAAGCGCACCCCTTGTCCGCCCTCGCAGCCGCACCTCGTGGCACGGCATCTTCCATCGTACCGCTATTTTTTTTTTTTTTTGGCACTTGGCCACGACACTTCATAGCCCACAAGGGTGTGTATAGATGCCTGGGCCGGCGAACTATTAGCAAAAGGGGGGCAAGGGAGCTCGGGGGGAGGGGCCAAGGAGCAAGTATCGCGAGAAAGGAGAGCCGCAAGCCCAATCACAAACCGAGCAAAGCGTTGCTAGCCTGGCTCCGAGGGCCTGGTAGCGGATATTGGCGAGGTGTGGAATGTAGGGGGTGGCGGATGAGTGTGGGAACTGGAATGCTGGTGATGCTTCTGGGAGCAGACAGGATCCTCTTCTCTGGGGCTAGCGGAGGGGGGTGTTTAGTCTCTTTTCTTTACGTAGCCCCCGTTGGAAAGGCCGTAGCAAAAGACATACAACTGACGATGGATGCTGATGGGCTTGACGCGGTTGGTTGCGGGAGGAGGCTTTGCAGCACTCGCCCTCGGGGGTATCCCGTAGGCGAACCTCGTGGGAAACGTCTGGTTGTTGAAAAAGGTAGAAATCCCGCCTTTCCCAGACATCCCTCGGTACTACTAGTATGTATGTATGTATTCCAGTGACGCTGCGCCCAACCCGCTGGTGACGGTCTAGCCGTCCACCGCGGACGGGATTTCTGCCACTTTTGGTTCCCCCGTACGGAGGATCCGGCAACTACGTGCCAGACAATCCCATCCGGGCCGGACGGAAGGGGGACGGCTCGCCGCAGTAAGACGTGAACACAAAAAAAAAAGGACACCACAGCAGCTGGCGCGGAAACTCTGACGTCTTGGGTAAGGGGCCCTCCGCCTCTTGTACGGGGTACATCTGGGCGATGGGCACACGGCCCGTGGGCAAAGCAAGATGGCGTCCTTCCCTAGACGGACACCGGAGCCCACGGAGCGGTATGTCTGGTGTTTGTGAATGCCTCGCGGTCACGTTGGACTTGGCGGCCATGGGCGTCGTGTATTTTGCCTTGTTGGGCCCGTCCGGCCCCGGTACGAGTGCCGAATATAGAAGCGCTTCCTTACACGAGGTTCGCCCTTTCCGGACCCCTTTTTTCTGCTTCTTTTCAATAATATTGCCTTGGTAGGATTTTTTGTCCTCGACTCATGGAATCTGACAAGCTAAAAAAAGAGAAGAAAAAAAATGTGACATAGAATGCCAAGCCGGCGACGACGACGCCGGAAACGGTCATGGACCCCCCATCCCTTCGAACCCGTGCCCTTTTGGGGGTCGAGACGTAGATTCTGCCTGTTTTTTTTGTCCTGCCGTGGTATGATGTGCTCGGGAGCCCGTTGCGCTGGAGGAATTGGGATTTCCTTCCTTCTCTGGGAAGGGCGGACGGTGGTGGCAGCGAATGTAACGCCATCTCGGACGCGGGGAGTTAGCCGATGGGTTTGACGCCACGCTGAAGGGTGGGCTGTAGATCATGTGTTGCAACCTGACGGGGAACATTGAAGGGCAAGTAGACTCACTCGTTCGCTGGCCCGGGGTAGGCATAGCAAAAGTCGGGCGGTACGTGTTAGCCCTGCCCCGTCTTGCCGTGATGAGAGGGACTTCGCGGCGCACGGGGAACGGTCACGATGCAAGGGCAGCGACGGAGGATGGCAGCTATTCTGGGTACATGTATGTATTCTTGAAGACTGGCGTCGGTGGTGCCCGTCTTGCCCGGCGCTCTTGGGTCCCCTGGAGAAGGGACGAACAGAGCGCCGTCTTGCCACCGAGGTCAAAGCCCGCGCTGCTCTATCAGCTGAGCTGGCCGATGAGTCTGTCAGCGGCCAAGACGGCACTCGGCCGTCATGCTACAGCGCCGGTACGGTTGATCTGGTGCCCCTAGGTTGTTGGCCGTGGGGATATGCTTCTGTGGCAGCGTACGTACTCCAGACGCCACTTGGGCCGGGAATATGACCAGTTGCAGCACAATGTGAGTTTTCATTTTTCTTTTCTTTTTTCTCTTTTTTTAGTTCTTGATGGTGAAGCGGCTGTTGAGGGGGATATGACAAGATGTGTTGTACTGGATTTAAAGTTGCAAAACTGTCGAGGGGATGGCCGGGACGCCGGGCATGACGGTCGGAGTTGATATTTGCTCTCGACTCCGGCTGTCAGCAGTGTGCTGGCCGCAGCATCAGAGACCAGTACCCCTTTCTACACGGCGACGAGATGGTATACACCAGTGTGCTGGACTCTTTCCCTGCTCCGTTGGCCTTTGAAAGCTCCTTCATATGATTCTATTTCTTCCCGAGTTGTACACGGGGTCCCAAGTTGCCGACATACACGGCTCTGCCTCGAGAGTACAATGTGTTATAACCCCCGTCTTTTTCCCTCTCAATTCTTTCTTCAGGCGTGCCAACAATGCCATAGTCTGCCGTTCCCTCTTCCAACAGAGCACCGTGTCTCATCAGCACACAAGCAGTCGAGCTGCAACGACCAAGACCTCCCAGTCCCCCTAGTCGAATACACCACATTGCCGTGTATAAATACCGACTCGACTCGATGACAAGGCACATGCAACGCGGCGCTGCGTCGCCCCGTCCCAAGACCAAAGCGGCGTCCAAGTTCAAACAAGGCACGTTTGATATTCACAGGCCCCCAACCGCACTCCCACACTCGTCCCCGCGGCCAAACGCTCCAACGACACGCCTGCCCTCCCCGGGGATGAACAGAAAAACCACCAACATTGTATCCTTCCAACTGTTCGGGTCAGCACTCGTCGCCAACGCGCCCCGGTCTGAACCGTCCATCGGGCAAACCTCTCCGACGGCCCGCTCGCCAACACGACGCATCCCAGCCGGCGTAGCCAGCAGCAAAAGCCCTCGGCGATCAAAAATACGCCTTCTCCCGCCGGTAATTCCATCTACACGATGCTGGGAGCAGACCTTCCACGAGCCCTACGACCCCACAGCGGGGGAGGCGCGGCCTCATCCGCCGCCGTGAACGCACAATAAATCGGGAGGCTGGACCTGTCACGGGAGATTGCGGCTCCATCCGGGCCGCATACAGCCCGGTCCGGGCCCCTGCAAGGCGGCGAATCCTTGGACGAACCTATGTACATACAATAATGTAGTGCTCCCGCGCTCCGTCAAGCAGGGCCGTGTCCTGCTGTGTCTGTTTGGCGTCGAGTGAAGCCGCGCCGCGCGTTGGGCGGCCTTGCCTGCGGTGAAACCGTCCAAGCCCGTGTTTCGCGTGGCACGGCAGCCTGTTTGATCTGCTGCCGCCTGGGGGCATGTGAGCTGCGGCAGTGGCCGAATGCATCTTCCAAGAACTGCCGTCCTGTCCTTTCTGATGCCAGGCATGCCCGTTCAAGAAGGGCCTTTATGCTTTGTTTGGCGCGCCGACGAGACATCGTACCTACCCTATAGTGAAACTTTTGGGGCGTGAGCATCACCACCATGCTTGGCGGCACCAGACGTAGACACTTTTCTGCAAGGACAAATTTTATACCATGGAAGAGGTGCAAAATTGGAATGCCATATGGGGTATATTGCTTCCATTACAAGTTCTCGTATTGGCCGTCCATTCATTCGCGTCATGCGGTTCGGAAATACCACTCGAGACCAACAGGTGCGGTATCGGCCGTCAGAGCTGCGACGTCGATATGTACTGCGACCCGTCGTGGCATTCTTGCTCGGCAACCCTGTACCGACCATTCTCGTCCTTCTCGAGCACAAAGCATCTCTCTGCAAATATGCCCCGTGCATTCTTCCTCCTCCACTCCGGGCCCATTCTCCGCAACATGACCCGGCGCCATCCGCCTACATTGATGGTGATGCTCTTCCACGCCAAGTCGGGGTTGCTCTTCTCCCGCAGCCGTACGAGGCAGGAAAACATCTGCATGGCTGATTCGTAGTCACGGTCCCGAGCCGGGTCGTCCTTCTCGGTCGCACGTAGCAGCGTCTGTACGTGGAGGATCAGAGTCTGGAGCATCGGAAAGGAGGCTATGCCACGCAGAAACTCGGGAGGATAGCACAGTGCAACGTCCATGTCCAGCTCGAGTGTGTGGACAAACGGCAGGCCCTGCCCCAGCCTTGTGACGTCTTCGGCCCGCAACGTCGGGCATTCATCATCATCGTCTGTGAATCCGATGTGGTCGCGAAAATGAACCTGTCGAAGAGAACCACCATGCTGCAAAATAGAATCAATGTGGAATAGGTTGGTATGGCAAGTAATGTCCAAGACTTCCAAGGCTCTGATGTGCTTCCTCACGAGTAAATCTAGTCTTCGGGTGGCCTCTTCTCGCCCGTCAGAGGCGTGTGCCAAGCTGTCGTGTACCTGCAACCTCGTCAGGTTGCACAAGTCTGGCGGAGAAATGGAATTTAAAAAGTTCAAAACAGGCACAGAAACAAGAACGAGAGATTTCATTTGGGACAGGTTCCAGTGTCTTTCTACCTCTTCTGCAGAGTGTGTCCAATCGTACGATTTCAAAACCAGATTGGAAAGCGGTGGCAGACATTCTCCCGCAGAAAACGTGAAGCTGGTGCCTTGGCCCAGGTCCTCATAATGCAGCGTCTCCAAAGATGAGCACTGCACTAAAAGACGCTTCAACGAATCTACTTTTGTCGTCAATGGCGGTGTTGGTCTGGCGAGTTTCAATGACACCAGGTGCCTTGTAAATGCTGGATCAAGCAGTGACGCATGCAAGTCACTTTGCGAGCCTCCCAAGGGGAGATTTTCTATATTAACCTTCGTATTCTGAGTACGTAGTTGGTCGTAGTCAAGGACATCGTGTATCGGCCAAGTGCTTGCGCCATGACTATCATCCTGCACGTAGCATAGGCTGTACTCGAGTGTTAGATATCATCTGGTCAGGCTTTGATTTACATTACTTCAAGACCTCACAGGGACGTACGTGACGGAAGACAGTCTCATTATACGAGACAAAATTTTCCTTATGCCAGAAGGCTTCAGGTTGTTTCGAACAACGACATGCTTGGTATACGTTGAAATATGCTCCAACGCTTTGGAAAACAGCGTCTGGGCATCTGGACGCACAATCAACTCGTTCAACACAACTCTTCGATACGCGATTGGAGTTGCTATAGAGTTGAATAACTGAGAAACGGAGCGGACGACAAATATCGACTTTGCATCTAAATATTGAAGCTTGGGCCACAAATGCTAGTTAGCTTGGAACAGTGTGGTTGCATTCGTGCTCGATCTACACCAGAACCATCATAACCATGCAGGATATCGTTCTCACCTGTTCCAAAACCGACATGAGAATCTCCGAACTAAGTCTTTGTATGTATCGTTGCAGAATCCGACTGCAGTTCCGAGGCGAAAGGGAGCCCCGGCCAGCAGCGTTCGCCTGACGAGGTGTGTTTGAGCAGGATGGAATGTTGCAATGTGCCGTTGAATGGCCATAGGTCGCCACAGGCAAAGACTCAGAGGAGCCCATGGTATCAAAATAGCGGCCAAAATGATCAAGTATCAATGATTAGTACAGGCCGGATAGTAGGGACGGTTTGTCAAGTCGTCACCAGACGAGCAAGACTTGACAAACCACCAGTTCACAACCTTGAGCAATTTTTCCAGCCCGGTACCAACAGAAGGCGACGCGGGTACCAGTTCGATGTCCCCTTCGGCAGGTATGTGCGCAAAGAAGCAAAGACAATCGGCAAGTTGATGGCGGGTTTGTCAAGGCTGTCAGCTGGCAATAAATGAGAGCCCAATAGTGGCTGCAGCGGCAAGACGACACTTCTGACGACTCGACCAGGGTTGCCTAGCGCTCGGATCCATAGACAAGACAGAGTATGAATTGCAAAATGCCAGTATCAGCGCCGTTCGGGTGGGGTTGATAATTGCCAGATGGTGGTCAAGACAAGATATTGTTGGCTTTACCGACGCCGAACTACTAACTAGAATAGCAAGCCAAGATTGTCAGCACAGAGTCCTTTTCCGTCTTTAAGAAGCGCATTTCTTACCAGTCACTTAATGACAAGACTAAGAACAAGGAAGCGATGATCGGCAACTTAGATTGGAAAAGGCAGTGTTTCCGGGGAGCCGGGTCCCATATATGAGCTCGACACGATGTGTTCACCGGACTAGGCAGGGCTGCGACAGGTGTGGAGAGACGCAGCACGAACTACATAGTTGCTAATCTGCCATCCTGGTAGTGGTGGATTTGGGGTGAGGCAAAGACAGGTGGGCAGCACGAGGGTCGTACGAGCAGAGACATTAACTAGGCTACGGAGTAACGGTTTGTGAGACCACCCAGCTCCTAGAGTGGAAGGTCTTGGATATCAAGCCGTAATAAATTGACAAAATCCCCGGGATGGTCTGGTGACAAAGACGATTTGCTTTTCAGGCGCCAGGCTCAATCAGTTATACCCAAGCCACCACGGCATGTCCAGTTGGCAAGGCACAAGTGGGACGGAGAGCGATACGACTGTCGAACTGGGATTCGGGCTAACGAAGGCGACGGGTTTCGGGCCGCCGGGGACTTTGGCGATATCCAGATGACGGTCAGAGGACTGACCAGTGCCAGATGTCAATGAAGTGGCGAAATAGGGACAGACTTCAGCTTAGACCGCTAACGGCTCCAGGATAGGCCGTGTAACTGCCTGTGCATTTCTCATGAACCCATGAACCCAAACCCCATAAATCACGGGTGCGAGCTGCCAGAAGAACACTGGTCGTCTCTCGCAAGAAAGTCCCAAACAGGAACTCTCACTGCCACGACTGACCAATCAGGTCCGGCATGTGCCTCGCTGAGCTGTCGGTGGGCTTGACGCTGACCACTGACAACACAAGCACAACCACTACTCGAGTCTGAGATGAATTCAGTCGTAGAAAGGATGGATGAAAAGAATACAATGTTGTTTTGGCAATACCAGAAGCACGCATAGGCTCGGAACTTTACATGCGATGCAATCTTTCTCGAGTCGACGTAACTAGATCAACTGCCGATCGGTAGAATTGACGATGGAAATGGGTCGGTAAGGACGGAGGGTGGAGGTTTGATCTGAGCCTAGGGCCACATGGACGCAGTTTGTCTGGCTGGAGTGCTAGCTCGCAGTGTCTCCAGTGAGACAGTGAGACGGGAGCCCCAACAACCAGACGGCCAACGGCGATGCAAGCCAGAACCACAACAGATTCATGTGTGTCTCTCTGTTCATCTGGAAAGTGTTCAGCAGTGCGGGAGAAATGATGTCGTGCGCCAGACTCTTGGCCGCGGAGATTACGGCCGGGCAAGCTTACCCCATAGTATTGAGCCTATTGCCTGAATCCGATTCGCAATATAATATTCCGTACGCAACACATGGCTATCTTGGCTTTGAGGACGGTGAGCCACTTTAGGACAAGGTCAGCACCCAGCGGCTTTAGAAGCTCTTTGTAATCGTCTCACCTATCGAAATAGAGAAATAGCGTCCGACTAGGCAGCATGTGTTGCATGGAAAACCCGTCGATGGAGCGCCACATCGCTGATATGCGAGACGTGACTAAGGCATAATTTTGGCTCAGCCTCCCTGCTTGTCGTGTGTCTTGTCCCTTCTCGACCAAAGACATGCATATGCATGTGCAACTCACTCTTGGGCGAGCACGGCACGAGGACACTGTGACTATCAGGTCAATTTGAGGAGTTGGGTGGATGGAGCTTTGGAGCTTGGAGCTTGCGTTCCTCTGTCTATGTACGCACGCATGGATGCGTCAAGTCCATAGCACCTGCCGTAGTTCACCGTTGTCTCCGCTTTTATCCGTTCTGAGACCTTCGCTCCTTCCCTTCCACTCGAACTCTCCCGCCCTGCACAGGCGCAGCGGGAAGTGCCAATGTTGCGACTGGCTGGGACGGGTGCAATATCACCCCGCCGTCCCAGCGGGAGAGAGCACCTAAACCAAGTGGCCGAACCAGCACATTCCATCCAAAATCATCCAGGACATCCAGAGTCCGAAGACGACCGAACGCTTATTGGTGTCTGTACGAATCGGCAGGCCACCATCTCAACCTTCGCATGGCTCCAACGTTGTCCGCTGTCCTGCCAAGTTCAACCGCTTGCCCGACAGGCTGTCATGCCATAGTCACATTAGGTAGGGTAAGCCTCGACTTCATCGGGTTTAAATTTGACTCTACACTGTGCCGCCGCGCGATGTGAATATCCAAGACAACTTGCCCAAATAAATCGCCAACAACTCGGTCAGACCAATGCCGTCGTGAAAGACTTTTGGCCTACATCCAACGTTTAGCAAAGTGCCGTCAATTGGAGTATCCACCGATCCACCCATTGCACGCTGTTCGGCACATGTTGTGGAATCACACTAGAACCCATGAGAACTCCTAGCCCAGGACGTACGGATATGCTCGACAACCCGAAGGGCCGTTGGATTTCATCAACTCTTCCCCTCTCAAGCTACAATTCAGCCGGCACATCCGCTATAAAGACTGCGAATTTAAACACATCTCTGTTATACACTAGCCTCCATGCAATGCTCTCGAGAAAGCTAGCACAATCTGATGAAACACGCTATAGATGCCTTTGAGCGCTTTGCCAGGTGTAGTTCTTGCCAATAATAACCAAATGACCCTCGTCTGAAGTTGTATCAAAAGCAGAAACATTAACAGCATGGGGAATCATCATCTTTTTTTTAAATAAAAAAAAGAAAAGAAAAAGAAAAAGTCAAGTTGGCACAAAAATGCCCAACAGAATCATGAATCAAGTCATACTCTCCTTGATACTCCCCTTCAAGAAGTGCAAGTTTCACCGAAGACTGACATGGAGAAGGTTGGCGAACCTAAGCAACCAATCACAGCTACAATCACTTTCTACAGCGCAACTCTGCATGCGCGCGGTTATTCCTTGTTCAGGGGGCTCTTGCCCTTTGGTGCTGCCTCATAGATATCGTCATCGTCAGAGACGCCTTGATGCCTGTTATGCGGCGGTTGCTCTTTGGCCAGCCCAGACCGAGAGCTAGAACTACCCGCACTGTTTAGAACGACATTGTTACTGGACAGCGGCCCACCGAAGCCCGGGTGAAAAGGTTCATGCGGAAATTCGGAAATAGGCTGTGTTGACGAGCCACCAGCAGCCTTTGCTTCTGCAGGATGCGGGTCGGCAAAAGGATCTTCAGTCGATTCGTCCTTCAGTGATTGGCGTGAGCTCGATGCTACTGCCTCCCCATTACCAGTGGGAGTCAGATGGTATGACTGTGTCTGTTTCCCCTTTCCTGCATCTATTGCCCCTGTTGTCACACCACCAGGCATTAAGCCTGTCTCAGCATTGTTATGACGTGCATGGCTTTCGGTGTCCGAATTGTCTGACAAGACAACTGGTGAATTTTCATTGGTACCGAGGCCAAGCTGCTTCCTGGCATTCAAAACTGCCCTCTGATGCTGGTTGAGAGCCGTCTGCAACTGCTCGTTTGTGTCAATGAGGCTCTCCATAGTTTCGTTATCCGGCGCCGGATTCTCAGAAACCATGTAGCCCTGCAGGCTTCTAGATGCACTTAGACAGCGATCGGCAAATTCTTTAATCAGCTCATTTTGCAGCATTTCACCCGGAGAAGTGTTCATGACGACCTGCTCCAGAAGTTTGGCCGACGTCCGTGCCTCTTCAAGTCTTGATGAGAGCTCAACGGGGTCAGGAAGGCGATTGTTATGGTGGGCCTTGGCGAAATAGTTTTGAGAGTGTCGGTTGAGCGGCGGCTGGTTCGTTATGAAGGGCCGTGGAGGCAGAGGTGGCTGTCGATTCTATTTTCTCCCATTAGCAAGGTATACGGCCCATCATTCACCTGCTAGCTAATCTTACCCCATGTTTCTTTATGGCAGCCTCCTTCTCCTTCTGCCACATAAGAACCAACGGAGCTAGGTTCTGGTCGTGCGCTTTGGCATACTCAAAGTCATCCAAGGTTTCCATTAATATTTGCCATACGCTGGGATCCTTGACATTCTTCAGCAAAGCTCGGATTGTGTCGACAAACTTGTCATCTAAATTCCTCGTGAAGGTTTCCCCAGGGTTATCGGTCAGGATTCGGACAAGCATTATAGCATTATACTGCCAGGACGGCCTTGAGCTATAATCTTTGCTCAAGAACTTGCGAATAACACGGGCACATTCGGCTGCGGCAGCCGGGGATGATTCGGCAGCATCGACGATGGGGGGGAGGAAGAGAACTTCATCAGTCTATTGACAGTCGTCTTGGTCAGTTGCCATGATTCGGACTGCAGCGAAGCACCAAGAGTGAGAAACCGCCAGTGTATTACATACCTTGGAATTTCCGCCAGACTCGCAAAACGCTTTCTGTGGCCGTTGGGGTTAGCGACGACATCATTCGGTGTCATGTGGTGGGGCTCCCTGGACTTACGACGCTGTTGTGAGCAGTGACCTCGGGGTTCTCAGCGTGTGTCGCAGCCGACGCTGGGGGGGCGTTTGAGCTCCCTAAGAAAGGACTAAGTCAGACCAGCGGCTCCTCTTCTGTCTTCCAAAGTAAATACCAAATTATGTTGAGTCGCTGGGCCGCACGCTGCGCAGGCCGACAGGTATGCGCAGCATGCATCGAAGGCTGCGCGGGGTGGTCTAGATATCGAAACAACAGCAGGGACTTGCTTACCTCCAGCCTTCTTCTTGATACTCCCCAGCATCTTGTTCATGCTGAGGCCCTTCATAGACTTCATGCTGACTACTCCGGGCTCGCACGACGAGCGTTGGTGGACGCGCGCGCAGAAAGCGAATGAAGGTAGACGAGACGTCGGTCGAAAGTGGTTTCGCTATAGGTATAATTGCTCGACCTTGGATTAGGCGGTATAGCGTAGATAGGTGTAGAGAGGGCGAATCCGACGAGAAATAGAGGTAGGACTAGGGACACATGGAGGGTGATGAGGCGGGAAAAAGAAGAGATCGCGATTGTCAGATGCGGGCAGGCTTAGCCAAGCCAGGGTCTCTCTCGATGAAGATGCGGTGTTGGCGGGCAGTCGCGGACCTTGCGGATCAATTGGGTGGCTCAGAGCTGTCACCTGTCGGGCTGTTCGCCAGGAGGCGGAAGACTGAGTGGGCAAGTGACAGGGGTTGGTCCCTTGGTTTTTGCCTCGAAAGGTTTCCGGATGGCGAAGGATCGAAGTGGTTGAGTGGTCAAGTGCTGTTTGGCTTCAAGCCTCGTCTGCGTCCGCAATGCGGGCAAGTGTGGGGAATTTGTTGGGTGAAGAGTTACGGAGGAGGAGATGATTCAAAGGATCAACGACAGGGCACGCCGCGCCCGCTGGTGCCGTGCGGAGAAGTAGAGAATGAAGAGTTGGAGTAGCAACACGGTGTTGTCAAAAGAGCATCGAGGCGAATGATGGCGGACAACAGACTTGACGGCGGTGCACTGGCAGTCTGGGTGTGCTGTGTAGAGACGGCGGGATTATCTGATTGAGCAAGGGATGCCAGGTGGCAGAACGGGGGGGGCTCAAGCCAAATTATTGATTCGACGAGACAACCGCAGTCCAGAGTGCCGATATGCACAAGAACGATAATTAGCAACAGCCAGATCCAGGTATATGCTTTCCAGTGTCAGCCAGCGGACGGAGTCGATACGGCATGGTTCAAGGTGAGCACGAGTTGACGGGGATCACGGGGTTGATCTGGGTAGATGGGGTGGATGGGGCTGATCAATCATTGATGGGCCACACAGCATGTAATCCAAGACCCTGGCGGCAGCCCGCGCTAGCGCAACGCGTACAAACAGCACATGTACTGTACGGAGTACTCTGTAGCTGTCGACATCTGGAGTTTGTGGCTTGTGAGCCCCTGTCTCACTCTGCGGTGACGTTTCAATGTCGAGGAAGTTTGTTTCCCGCTGGCTACGCATCGAGGCAAATAAACTACCTTGGTAGTATTGCAGGTACTGCAGATACTGCGTGCATACCGAGTCCGGCAGCTTGGAGGACCAGTTGACAACGTGGTGAGCCAGTGGCCGCGTCCCAGCCACGACTCGCGTGCGCAACGCATCATGCTCTCCCACGGGCAACTCGCGAGTGCATCCCACCCACGTCACCGCACAAAGCCGAGAAGCACAGCCTCCAGCTGCTACGCAATCACCTAGCCTGTTTGGCCACGCTTTGTCGAGTACGTACACCGTAAACCATACAGATTTGAACGCACGCATGACTTTGGGCGGGGATGGCTTAATTGGAGGTGCAAGCATGGATGCGTTGGCACCCACAAGATTGCTTACTACCTACGTAACCCCGAGGCAAGAAGCTTGGCTTTGTAGACCGGTGGCCGCGTGTAAGTCTGGGTGACAACTCGCGAGTTAATAATACCACCATCGCACGTTTATGCCATCTAATACCTCACTCGTGACATCAAACATTACAGAAATACTGGAAGCCTGTTGATACATATTCCCCCCATGCCCGGTACTCCGCAGACAATGTCTATATTAGCCACGGACTCTTCCGGCCATCAGTCACCACTCTCACCACTCTCATCCTCGTCATCGCCCAACACCTCCTCGACTATCAAATTGCCCGATTTGCCAATCCTTTCCCCCAGCGTGGCAGTAGTGCTAGCTTCATACACCACCCTCGGCAGCGTCGAGGCTATTCTGAACAAATACTTGTGCTCATAAGCCTCGGGGGCCTCCACCGTAGAGTCATCTGAGTAGTCGTCGTCATCGGCTCCGTCCTCACGGCTCCGTATCCTATCGTAGCATTCCACGAAGGCATAAAGCTCCTCCACCGACGCGTCCTGCGGGAACCTCCTGACAAGGCGACCCGCCCCTGACCCTTCGGGCATCTTGAGGGCGACACGCACCACGTCCTTATCGCCTGCCGCTGGTCCGGGGAGCAGCCTGGCCGCGCGCCACGTCTTCCATTGGTTGCGCTTGCTCTCAAGCAACGCGGCATCGTGTGCCTTTTCCCGCGCCAATGACTCGGCGGCTTCTGCGGCCGCGGCTGCCTCTCTTCGCTGGCGGACGCGTTCTCTGTCGATGGCAAGGGAGCGCTCGTACGCCGAGTCTTGCTCGTTGCGGAGATTCCTGGATACTTCCTGGGCGGTGCGCTCCGCTCGAACGCCGTCGAGGTCGGAGCCGTACTTTTCAACCGAGTTTTGCAGCTCCGACAGGTAGGTGCTTGCCGGCATGGGGCCGACGAGCCGCTTGACGATGCCCATGCGGGTGCTGCCCTCCCTGGGCGTCAGGCAGACTAGTGCCGAGAAGGGGAATTTGGTGCATGTGTATTCGGTGGCTACCTGGTATGCTTCTGAGTCTAGCACGTTTCCTCCCCAGAGAATGATGTTGTTTGTGGGGTCTTTGATGTAGTCTACTACGTCTTGTGAGAGGAGTGTTTCCCGAATGAATGACGCAGTGTCGTCGTGCTCCGGGGACAAGAGAACAACCAGAAGAAACTTGAGCTCCTTCTTGGCTAGATCATGCGCCTGGGCCAGCCCGCCCTCGAAGAAGGGGAGATCGTTCTGGCCGTACTCTTCGTCGAATTCGCGCTTGAATCGTGCGGCCGTATCCCGCGGCATCAGCATTCGGCGGCCGCTCGTGTCCTTGAACCCAGACGACATACGGCTCGTCACGGAACGGGGTCGGATCGACGCCGGCAGGAAGGACAGAATGTACCAAAACGTCCTGAAAAGCGTCGAGGCTGCGCGCCATCCCCAGCCAAATGGGGCGAGAAGAAGGCCCAGAAGCCATGGTGAACGATGTGTTATCGGCGGCTGAGGTACGATTCTCGGCGCGGCGTCTGTTCGTTGTCTTGGCTGCGATCGAGGGGTGAAGCCTTCGGCCAGGAGGCTTTCCTGCAAGTTCTCGTGTCTTGCTGTCGTCCGAGGGACATTTTGAGCGGCCATAGCTTCGGCTACAGGGTCGGGGCCCTCGCCGTCAAAGAACTTGGCAATGGCGATCTGGAGGGGCATGTCAGGCACGAGAGGGTAGAGTTGAGGGTTTCCAAGGAAGGATGCCTGTCTAGGGACGATCGAGTGCTTACTTGGACGTTCCATTGTGACCTTTGCAGTAGAGGGATTGCCTCCTTCGGCTCTTGGTTGGTGACCTGGATGTACTGCTGGAGAGCTTCCTGCTGCGTAGTGGACAACTGTTCCACGTCATCATCATTGAGGTCGGCCATGGCGGGTGACGGGTGACGAGCTGCCTATGCGGCCATCGGTGTGGTGGGGCTAAACGTCTCTGTTATCGTGACCATGCGAAGGGAAGGGCGACGGCGACTCGATCAGGTTTTGTGGCGTACGCTTGAGGTTTGTAACTTATAAGTTTGAGTGATGCGTGCTGACTGGAAGCTGTGAGACAGGCTGGCTTTGAGGAGACAGCTTTGGTGGGGCAAGGTGAGCGGAGGCACGGAGTACCTTCGGTACTTAGGCAAGCGCAGGAACCCCAGAGTACAGACTCGGCTCTGGATGGAGTTTAGTTGACGATGCAATCTGACTGGGTACTACTCGGACAAACGTGAATATATGCCGGCGCCAGTTCATTGGCAAGAAACATGGATGTGAATTATGAAAAGTTCGTTTTCTTTCTCTTCTACGAGGCTCCTCGGTCAATCATGGTACGGGGGCGAGGCTGCGTTTCAGCTCCCGCAGGTACATACAACCTCCTCTACACGACCAACACGGCGTAGATACCCTATAGCTCAACATCGAACAGAGCACGATGGAGTGGATGGCTTTTGCCGCCGTGGTGACAATTTTATGCTCTTGCATGGGTTTCTGTTCTGTGGGAAGTTATTTCCGTGATTCTTATTGCGTAGAATGAGGAGGAATGGAGATCGTCGTTTGCGACTACTGCGTACTGCTCGGCGCGAGTACATCCAAGGCCAGAAGATGGAAGCGCGGGGCTGCACGCCATTGATGTAACCTCCTCGACTGCCGCCAAACACGTAGATTCCCGGTAGTACTTGCTCCATGTATGCCCAGGGACAAATGTAATGGCTACCAATTGGTCATGGTGAGCAGCAAATAGCTGACCATCATCCATCAAGGCTGTGCGCCTATCAATCACATCTTCAGCCCAGGGCCAATTGCCTCCTGAGTCATGCGGGCGTCTCGTTGCTGCCGCAGGTGCCATCGGCCTCTGGAACTCACCACTGATGATGGCCCCAGTTGCGCCCCTCCCAACTACGGCATGAATTGGCTCTGCCATGTGCCAACCGCTGCTCCGGCCCACCATCGCCATCTCAACGCTTGCCTCACCTCCGCTCCCACTCTCTCGACGCTGCACGCTGAACAACCCGCCCCCCGTTCCTGCCCATCGTTTGTAAATGGGCGCAAGGCCTCCGCCGCCAATTGAGCCATGGCTGATGACTGCTTCACCAAGGTAAGTTGACCTTCACGCGTGCCCGGCTGCACGTCTCCTCCCTGCACTCGTGCTCGAGCGATGCTGCCTCTCCACATCACAGCCTCGACTCCCCCGCCGCCGTCATGGCATGGCATGGGAATGCTCGCGCACCTGGCACGCGTGTCGCTTTGCCCAAACCCGGTGCCCTCTGTCGTCGCGAAATCTCATTGACATGGTACAGACGTCGTAGAAGCGACCGCAGGAGCCGGAATTCTCTCCTTGGTTCACCCAACTAGACAATGGCGGCGTCGCGATTCGCGACTTCGGATCTTAGGCGCCCAGCCGGTTCAGCCTCGTCTCCGAAACCAAAGGGACGCGGTACGACACCCCTACCCCGTGCTGCTCCTTCCTTGAATGGAAATGGGAATGGAAATGGCAATGGCAACGGCAACGTGCAAAGTTCATGGAGCTAACCCCGAGCCTATAGCGGAGAACAGGGATACGCTCTGTCGAAACGTCTTAATCTATGGTCACTGCCGATACGAAGACCAAGGTTGTACCTTTTCCCACGATCAAAACAAGAATAACTCAAACCCACCAGACATGTATGTCAGATCACCAATGCCGCATACCGAGTCGGCTTTGCGTCTGCCTCTATGCGCTTGCGTGCTGGAGTATCCAAGCATATGCTGTGCTGACACGTCTGCCCAGGTCTCGCAAAGCTCTAAATGTCGAGTCTCCTTCCTTTACCCCTGCAAACCTGCAGTCTGCCGGCAAGAAACCAACTTTTTCTACACAAGCCGCCAATGCACCGGCATTTACACCCAGGGGGCTAGGAGGTAGTCGCCATGTTTCAATATACAGTTCTGCGAACCGCGGCGCTGACACCACTTTGTAGCATCCCCAGCTCTTTCAGCCACTCCCGCCGACCCAGAAAGTGCCATATTCAACCCAGCAGCCATTCGCGAATTCACTCCAAGCTTTGAGTTGAACTCACAGGTATGTCTTGACGGCAGACACGCTTTACCCATCACATGTGGAATAACGCGTCCACCCAGGGTGTTTCGAACGGATCGAATCAGGATGGCCCTGTCAACTATGACCCTTTTGCCATGGCCTCAGTTGGCCAAGGCCTCCCCAGCGCACACTTCAATCCTTATGCCGACGATCACAGTGCAATGGCTGGGGCTGCCGGAGGGTTTTATCAGCCCACTGGCGCCTTTGCTGCTCCTCTTCAGCCCTTGCAGCACCATCTTTACGCACCGGTTGGGCCTTACAGAGAAGATCTGATGCCCTATCACCGACTGACACACGACTTCTTCATACCCGAAAAGTTGCGAGAGGACCTGCAAAGGAAGGCAGAAGCCTCACTTCAGGTTATGCCCAATTCACAACTACCTCAGATGGAGAACTATCATTCTTTAGTACCGCTCGACACCAGCCATCGAAAGAACACAAACGTCTTTTCTTATCCCAGCTGGGTTTACAAAGCGACATCATCCAAGACGGGCAATCTCTACTGCCTACGAAGACTGGAGGGCTTCAGACTCACAAACGAACACGCCATCAGATCCGTCAAAGACTGGAGGAAGATTGACAATGCAAACATAGTTACAATACACGATGCATTTACGGCACGAGCTTTCGGTGACAGCTCCCTTATATTTGTACAGGACTACCACCCTCTGGCCAAAACTCTAGCCGAAGTTCACCTGAGCACTGGCGCTGGCGCACCGTCACCAGGAAACCGCTTCCAAGCAAAGTCACCAGTTTCCGAAGCTGTATTATGGGGCTACATAGCTCAGATCGCAAACGCACTCAAGTCCATTCACTCCATCAACCTGGCCGCGCGCTGCATCGACGTGACCAAAATCATCCTCACGGGCAAGAACCGCATACGCCTCAACGCCTGCTCCATCCTCGATGTAGTCCAATTCGATATGCGCCGCCCCGTCCCCGAACTCCAGCAAGATGACTTCATGCAGTTTGGCCGCACAATCCTCTCCCTAGCCACCAACACGCCCCCAGCTCAACTCACCAACCTCAAAGCCTCCATCGAATTGATGGCCCGCTCGTATTCTGTCGAGCTCCGCGACACAATCATATGGCTCCTTACGCCCGCCCAGCCACCTTCACAAAAGACCATTGAAGAATTCATTCGCGGAATTGCCGGCCATATCGTCACCACTCTCGACCAATCTCAACACCAGTCTGACGACCTCAACTCCGAACTATACCGGGAACTGGAAAACGGCCGCATCGCCCGCCTGCTCCTCAAGCTTGGTTGCATCAACGAGCGGCAGGAACTCGAAGGAGATCGAGCGTGGTCCGAAAACGGAGAGAGGTACATGCTCAAGCTGTTCAGGGACTATGTCTTCCACCAGGTCGACGCTAGTGGGAACCCTGTGCTTGACATGGGCCACATGCTTCGGTGCCTGAATAGGCTAGATGCAGGGACTGACGAGAGGATCTGCCTTACCAGCCGTGATGAGCAGACCAGCTTCATCGTCAGCTATAAGGAGCTGAAGAAGCAACTGGGCAATGCGTTTGGGGAGCTCCAGAAGACTAGCAAGCAGAGTAGGGGGTTCTAGAAGATCCTTAGCACGACACCACCACGCCGGTCCAAGAGTGCTCATATGTAAAGATGGGGTTTATACGTGGATGAAACGAAATTCCTTTTTTCTTGCTTGCTTCGATTGTTTTTGAGCACCGATGAAGGGGAATTGAACTTGGCCCAGAGGTACGGCATTCGGATGGTATGAATGACTAAGCAGTGACGGTTACCGGTTGGTTGCCCTGGGTCTGGATGGCACGATGGATGAAGCCTGTTAGGATCGGCGAGCGGCTACTCTTGGTGATATGAGAATCATTGATTGATTCGAACTAGCGGTGGAAGCAGTAGTGGATAAAGTAGCTGCATAGAACTAAGCCCAAAAAAATGTCATATCTGTATTGTTCATAAAGAGGTTCCCATGATGTGGTGGTCATGGCAGCATCATTGCCACGACCATGATGGCGACCCGTTTGTGATGTTGCGAGGCGCATCCTCTACTTGCTATCTGATGTGGCCCGTCTTCTGTCCTAGCAAAACGACAGATCAAGCTATCGCGCGAGCCCTATCGCGAATTGTTGCACAGGCTCAGGACCGTATGGTGAGCCCAAGGCCTCCAGATCGTCGCATATATGCAAATTTGGCCGTGCTTGTTGGGGTTTCGGGATCCGGCACCGAATCCAACCTTACTCCTCCGCCGTTGCAAAGGGATTGGCGATTTCTTCACTACCATCGACGGGAGCAATGACCACGAGAAGAGTACCGCGAGCAACAACGAGGCCCAAAGGTCGAGTGGACTCGTTTCCTTCTTCATCTGCAGCATGTGTCAGCTCGTCTTGTCACTGCGGCCATGGCTTCTCGTCACCCAAAAGGCAAAAAGACAGAGCCTACCTCGAACCGTTTCCTTAACCTCGTCCAACACCAGGTTCATGAGCGCATCGTAGCCCTTCAGCGTGCCCGTAACCTCTCGTCCGCCGTTGAATTTGACGGTAATCTCCTTGTCCATGTACTTTGCCAAGTCGAGGATATTCTCCTTCTTGGGCTTCTCGCCCTTGTCGCCGCCGTCGCGACCACCATCACGACCACCGCGACCACCACCTCGTCCGCCGCGAGGACCTCCTCCTCCTCTTCCGCCTCGATGCGTGGGTCTATCGGACATGTCGCATGTGTGTGTGTGTGTGTGTGTGTGTGTGTGCGCGCGCGCGTGCTTGTCACCGATGGGATAGGCCGTTTGGGTCGGGATGGCAGAAAAAAAGCTGCCCTCACCAAAGCTTCAGACGCGAGTTGCGGTTTGGCGGCGCAGAAGCGTGCCGAGAGGGGTCAACTGGAGGTCCTATTTGGGTTTAGCGCCTCTTACGGCTCTCGCAGCTCTCAAGCTGACCCATGGTTATGACATTACTTGTGCCCCCTTGCGCGGAGATTCCGCAGCCGCAATTACGGGAGAACATGGTGGGGAAGGCGGCATCCCTGGGCGCCGCTGCAACTCCCAAGCGGCAACGGGTTTGACATTGCCTGTGCGAATCCCGTCTGCGCTGGACGGGGGAACTCGTCTCTTTAAGAGTCGAGGACCTTGTGGAGAGCCAGGTCCGGGGGTTAATAGCCAATCGGACAATACCGGACAGTACCGGTTAAAATAGTACCTCTATTTACTTAGATATTAGGTTATGCCTGTTTACATGGGTGCAAGGGTGGGCGGTTAGAATACACTTCATATTCCGACAGGGACGTGGCGCTGATGAGCAAGCTGCTGAAAAGGCACGGGGCAAGACTGAGCACTCTAGACTGCAGTGCAGGGCATGGGACCCCGAGCGACATGCATGAAGGAAGGACGTCGAAGGAAGGAAGGAAGGAGGGAGGGAGGGTATGAACATTGAACACAAAAAGAAGATGTGACAAGCAACTAGTATTACTCCGCGCTCCGTCTTGTACTACGTCGATGCAACGGCTTGGCTTGGCAGGCGAGGAAAGATTTCCCACGCGCGGCGCCATCGACTGGGCCAATTGTCATCACTATGCTGTCATTGTGCATTCTTGCCGATGTTGAGCCAGTCGCAGGTCTCCGAAATGCATCACCTACGTCAGTCGGGATGTTTCAACGAATCCCCAGGAAACAGTTGCCGACATCAAAGGACGTCGTACTCGGGGTTGGTCAAGCAGTTTGTGGCAGGGGATGCCTCGTACCCAGCAGAGCAGCCCATGGACGCCTTGCATTTCCACCAAACCAAACACGCGCCGGAGGAGACATTGGTAATATCTCAACCTGCACGGACGATTTGGCTGAAGCCATGACGTTACGGTTTCCTTTGTTTTGGAGAGAACAGTATCGCGTCCAGGCGCAAAGGCTAACTGTTGGAGACCCGCCTATGCTGTTTCGTGCCATTTGTCCAGACCATTTCACTCGTTTTTCTGGGCGTTGCTGGCGGGCGTTGCTGGATATCACAGTCATGGACCGGGCTCAGCAAAGATTGTCCCTTGACTCCAACTCTCAATGGAATCTGGCCGGTTGGTAGCAGAGCGCGAGGTGCCCGAGGGAAAGATACGTGGCGGACCGTTGTCTTGTTTTAAGACACTGATTTCGGTCAACGAGTTACGATAAAGCGCGGACCGCAAATCATAGCTCGACATCCAAAACCAGCACCTGTCTTATGGAAGCCTGTCCGCAAGAGGTGCCTGTCCGCTCTCTCTTGATGCCGTTGGGTGTATTGGCCCACGCACCCACAGTATAACGGATTGACTCTTTCGATAACCCTGGAGGTTGACACCATAATGGCTTCGGTCAGAGTGGGATCGTCGCCCTGACCTGCCATGCTAAGAGCGCCTGCCGCTGAGGAGCGGCAGTGCGTGCTCCATTACGTCCCCTGCTTGCCTACCAGCCTACCAATTTGTCGACCTGCGTCGACCCAGCCAACAGCCGGTATGCGGACATCCTGCGGGCGTGGAGGAGGGCCGTGGCTGATAACATTTGAGTCTTTTTAGCGCTGCTGGTCTCCAGTAAATACTTGCGCAAGAGGCGGTGGCGGGAAGGGGCAGCGGGAAGCGGGCACTTTATATGAGCAACGGGCGCCTATACGAAGTATATATCTTCTAGTAAGGCGTCGAGTGGGAAACGCAGTTCTGGCAACTTCGTTCTTTCAGCCTCTAGACCTCTGGACCTCTCCGCCGTCAATAACGCCCATCACTTCCATATCCTGCCTAACTTTAAGGAAGCTGCCCAGCAATACCCACCTGACCCCCTCTCAAGAGACGGTGGATGGATTATCGTGAGCTCAAAGACCCATTCAATATTTTCTGCAAACGTACCCGAGCCGGTCCCGGCCGAAAAACTAATTTGTATTTGTTGAGGGGATCAGACTGCAAAGTCAGTTGCTGGGCGGGTAGCTGGGTTGTTCCGACGTCAAGTGCCCATTCATATGCAGCATACCTTTTATATACGACCCGTGCCGCCTCCCAAACCACCTTGTCATCCTGACGGCTTATACACAACCTCTTACACAATCGCAAGTGGGCTTTCGGGACCTGAACAGCCTTCTCTGCCCAGAATTGGGTCTAATCCGAAACAACTCACCTCTTGAATTTTGACGCCCGAATTCAGTACACGGGCTTTGAGATTACACGACACCTTGCCCTGGTCAAATACTGTTCCGTTTCCCTTGCAGACCCACCAGTTATCCTTGGCTGGGTGTCCGCAATGCAGCGCCAAACGAGTTTCACAAACGATTCCGTTTGCGCTATTACTTACATATTGTACAAACCAGCTGCGCCATCCTCGCCAAGTTGACTGTAGAGGCCTGTGTCTTGATACATGGTCCGGCCCGCTTCTCGCGCCACGTCGATTAACTCTTAAATCCATCATAATTGAACAACTACGGCGAGGAGTGTTTCGTCATGGCACATGCACCCGATTTAGACTTTCACAAACGACATCGAGATCCCCAAGAGACTGGTGTTCAGCATGGAGACCATCTTGCACGAACACCACCTGTCAGATCAGGCGTATTTAATCAACTGGGTGAGCATGCGCCTTTGTACGACATAATTACCCTCTCATTCGGCTTTGCGACCTTTAGAATATATCCTCGCGGGTAGTTTCCAAACTCGGGGGGGTGGGAGCTGCTGATATACTACCTGCTTTTGACACTTGATGCTTCGTCCCGCCATCAACAATTCTTCAGCTGACAAATTTGGAAAATTACAGGAGGACCTTACATCAATTATGTACCACGGGCTAATGCTGAGCGTCTTAACCTTATCGAGGGGGATCATGACACCTTTTCTCATATTGTTAGCTTAATTGGAGAATATGAAGGTACGCCCTGCATGGATTGTACACGCTCTCCTATCAACTCGCCACCATTGACATATACCTGTGTGTAGGTGTTTTAGATCGACACGAGAGTCTGGCGGCAAACTTGGGGGCAAAGCTAACCGGACCACGACTCCTCAAAGGTATCGACAAGTTCTTTGATGGACCCATCAAGACCAGTTCTTCACAGCCCGTCTCGGCACCAATAAGCTGGCTTGACGTGGTTGCTTTTGCAAAGGCTAGCCCAGGCGAATTCAGCCTCACAACAATGCCTGACGGCAGCCGTTTCTGTCGATTCTCTTATAACGGCGTCCATGTTGAAATCACTGAGGATGATTGGAGACTGATATCGTCTGGAGCCCTAGATCGCTTCCCACTTGAACACCCTTTCGAAGAAGACGAAACTGCTGAGTTGGCGACGTTGGATATATTGGAACAACGAGCTTCAATTCTTTACAAGAAGGCCGACGAAGTGGCTGCTCGAGCGCGCATCCTTCATCACAGGCTTGGCCACAGGAAGAATGACCTGTCTCGTAGACGAAGCCAAGACAATGGAGGCCCAAGACACCAACCTCCGAATGCTCCTGGACGGCAGAACAGTTTTAGCCCCTCGTACGACTTGCATGCAGACCTGCTACATCAATTTTTGACAATGGCTCCATCCAATATAAAGCCACAGTCTGCCTCCGACGCTGGATTGTCAGCCATCAACCTTGGCCCGTCGTCGCCATCTGTTCATTCGCCGCATCATCACCAGCACCGCCTATCCACGCAGTCTTTGCGTTCCCCGGGAGGAACTCCGCTGGACAATCAGATGATGAATTCGGCGGAAAGCAGAGGAGAAATCTTGCGGTCACTCATTTGTCAAAGCACTGATCGACTTTCGAAAGGCGATGTCATAAACCCTCCCTGTGACCGGTGCCGCCGCCTGCGATTGCCCTGTATCAAGCACCTTACAGCCTGTCAGGGATGTACTAAGAAGCACGCCAAGTGTAGCTGGAAGTCAGTTACAGATGATGAAGCATCGAGAGTTAAATATGAATTAGGGACTGAGGCGGAGACGATGGCGGAAAGCGACAATGATGTTCTGGGCCCAAAAGATACTCGATATTCCCGAGCCCCCTTGGAATCTCGAAGTAGTATATTCAGTTCCGAAGGCACGCCTGGACCGGGAAGTCGAGCCGACTCTGACATGAGCATACCGATGGTTCACAGCCCAGACTCTATTTCGATAGCGCGACACGAGACACCAGACCAAAGGCCGCCAAACCTGGCAACTGGGCTGGGGGGAATACCTCGCATAAGGGAACCGATTCGCCCTAGGCATTTTGGGCCCATGTCAGGCGAGATGGATGCAATACGACGCGCGCAAGACCCATCTAATCCGCCGTCGAGATGACGATCAAAGCCCCTTTCTTTTCTTTTTGATATTGACGACATACGAAAGCCGGCCAGATAAGACTATACAAGGAAGCTCATGCGCGTAATGAAACTATATGAGGCATGAAATGTACGATTCAGGGACAACAGGTGCGCGGGACAGATGCATCAGTACAGAGCATTTCAAAGTGTCATTGCTTTTGAAATAATGTATATTAAATAGACTAAAATAGTCCCGATGGACTCAATAGATTCCTAAACAGCTACTCGAAATTAATTTTCCTTGTGCCACCAGCCTACGATAAGTTATCTCAGACAGGCGGGCTGTCACGGCCCATAATGGAAGAGGGATGAACGTGGGGGTCTAATAAAGAAGACGAAGCTGCTTGCGTCTTTTGAAACATTGCGCCTTAATAACTCATTGCGATGTTATACTTGTGCAACCGTGTGTGACTGGGAGATTGCAAGATGCTGTCCTACAGAGTAACAAGTGAGTTATGTGAGTTGTGTGCAGAGAGACGGAGGCAGGCGGACAGAATTGGCCCGCATGTCTTCTAGATTGACCGGGGACGGCCTGGACCGGCTGGATACTTGCAGCGTTACGCGCATTTCTACTGGAAAGGTGTGTATCTAAGCTCGTTGCGTTTGGTCACTTTTAGTCTCCGTGGCCACTCTGGTCACCCCGACTCCACACATGCCCACGCTAGTGAGTACTTGGAACTTTGACCCAGCACAAAAAAAGTTGGAGCCTCATTTGACGCCTCCTAGTTGTCGCGACGGATTTCTTCCTTTCTCTGCCGTCTGCCTCCTCTGACGACTCAAAACGACCAATCCGTGCATAGCGACGCAGACACATCTCACACCTCACATAGGAAACATAGACAACAAACGAACCGTCAGTTTATACTGAAGAATATACTTACCATGGCCCAGCGGCAGCCTGCCGCATTCGCGGTAGGCCAAGACGACCGAAAACCTTTCCAACACTCACATGTCCCTGCCGAGCATGCGGCGCTGATCCAGTCCAGGGAAACGGGAGATGTGATTCCCGACGATGCGCCAACAGGGAAGGTCAAGGCTTTGCCGTTTGCAAAGTCGTGGGTGCACATGATGGCGGGAGGGTTCGTCTGGTCTCTACCTTGTCCTCTTCGGCGATAGACCTTTTACTAATAATGACTCGACTATAGTGTTGGGGGAATGACCGCTGCGACCATTACTGCCCCGCTTGACGTGCTCAAGACCAGGCTACAATCCGATATTTACCAGGCGCAACTCCGAGCCGCTAGAATGGCCAAAGGACAGGCCTTGGCGGGATTGAATCCAGCCAGAGCCGCCCTGTATCATCTTACCGACACCCTGGACATCCTTGGCTCAGTATATCGCACTGAAGGCTCCAGAGCCCTCTTCAAAGGTCTAGGCCCCAATCTGGTGGGCATTGTGCCCGCAAGGAGCATAAACTTCTTTGTCTATGGTAACGGCAAGCGAATCATCTCCGAGTACTGGAATCGTGGCGAGGAGGCTCCTTGGGTGCATCTTTTAGCTGGCGTGGCAGCCGGTGTAGCGACGTCAACAGCGACAAACCCCATCTGGATGGTCAAGACCCGGTTGCAACTTGACAAGAACGTTTCGGAGCGCAGCGGTGGCGTCATGCAGCGACAGTACCGTAATAGCTACGACTGCGTGCGACAGATCATTCGCGACGAAGGCATTCGCGGCCTGTACAAGGGAATGAGCGCAAGCTACTTGGGGGTGGCCGAGTCTACGTTGCAGTGGATGTTGTACGAGCAGATGAAGGCATCGTTGGCCAGACGAGAGGAGCGCATCCAGCGCAGCGGGAGGGAAAAGACCTGGTGGGATAACTCGGTGGACTGGACCGGCAAGGCTGGTGCCGCTGGCGGCGCAAAACTAATTGCCGCCATTTTGGCATATCCTCACGAGGTACCGTGTTACGTTGACGGTGTTGGGTGATGGCTCATAGGGTTGCTGACAATGATTTCCAGGTCGCCCGAACCCGACTGCGACAGGCCCCGATGGACAATGGCCTTCCGAAATACACCGGTTTGATCCAGTGCTTCAAGCTGGTGTGGAAAGAAGAGGGCATGATTGGTCTGTACGGCGGTCTCACGCCTCATCTGATGCGAACAGTTCCGAGTGCAGCCATCATGTTTGGCATGTACGAGGGCATCCTCCGACTTTTTAATACCCCTGCATAGACAAACGACAATTTATACGGCCGTAATCCCCGCCGCTTCAGCAAAAAGCAATAGTGGACGCGTGTCTTGACTCCTCTTTTCTTGCAAAAGAGCACATATTTCTTCTTGGTAACGGCATCAGTGGATCTCTGCTCATCTTGTTGCAACGCTAGATGCCGCGCGCAAGTGTATACTTTTTTTTTAATTTTCAGACATTGGCATACTCCTCCATCTTGTACAATACCTACAATAATGCCGCTCAATACAAGCGACATATCAGATAGACATTTGGGAATTGGGAAACGCCCATGGATAGTGAGCAGTGGCGTTTTGGGTTTGGCGGACAACTACATTACAACAGGCCACATTTCTGCATGGAATCCACACGCTTCCGCTATATATGTGTGTGTCCATATATGTGTCGTCGTCGACATCGTATGCCTCATCTAGAAAATCACCTTTGGCCCCCAACCAGCAGCAACCCCTCTCGCCCAATACAACGTGGCCGCAGAAGCGGCGTATACCGCTCCCGAAAAGACCATGATGCCGCAATACGAACCGTCGCCCGCCCTGATTATTGCGCCAGCGACGGGGGCGCCGACCAGGACGCCGACACTCGCAACCAAATACGTCGTTCCGCTCCGCTTTCCATAATCCTCAATTCGGCACACCCTACTCACGCACACGGGTGTAAGCGCAATCGTGGCGCCGGACCAGAACCCAAACAGGACCGTGAACGAAACCACAGCCATCCGACCACCCGCGGCGGTGTACCACAATGAAAATATACTGGCTGCGCAGGCGGCCGCCGTCACCAGGAAGCTGTTGAAGGCCCCAAAGCGATCGGCGACGAAGCCCGGCAGGGCCCTGCCCGGAATCGCGCCAACGTTGAGCAGCGAGTTCATCAAGAGCGCCATGTGCGCCTCGAACCCGACGTGCAGCGCGTACGAAGAGATGTACGTGTAGGGAATGAGGACGGCGAGCTCGGCGAGGAAGACGGCCAGCGTGGCCAGGGCGTACTTGAGATCGAGCAGGGCGCCAAAGTCCATCCGCGCGCCGGCCGTCTTGTTGTGCGGCAGGCGCTTCTTGACGAGGCGGCAGGCGAAGAGGGCCGAGACGGCGCAGATGAGGCCGACGATGCGGACGGACCAGCCGAACCCGACGCGCGGCTCGGCGTACAGGATGACGAGCGGGAAGACGATGCCGCCTGTGCCGCCGGCCGTGCAGACGACGCCCGTCGCCAGCGCGCGCCGCTTGCCGAACCACTGCCCTGTTGTTGCGATGCAGGGGTTGAAGAGGAGCGAGGCCGAGAGCCCGCCGAGGACGGAGAATGTCAGGAAGAATTGGTAGAATTCTAATCAAGGCCGCGTCAAAATCACCGTGATGCGCGGAAGAAAGGGGGGGCGCGACGAACCCTTGCAGATGCTGAGAATCATGGCCATGACAACCATGCCCATGCTCCCTGGTACAATGAGCAGCTTGACATTGTACGCATCGAATATAGGTCCTACGCGGCCAGTAGTTAGAGCACCACCTCCCGGTTGCAGCTGTCGGGTTTGGGATGGTGGTTCAAAACACGGACCGACCTGCACGCCGCACGAGAACATCAAGAACGCGTACGTGCTGAAGATCCAGCCCGTCGTCGACTCGGGCACGCCGGCGAGCTCGTGCTGCGAGACGCGCGCCTGCAGGACGGCAAGGGCGTTGAGCCAGCCCATCGGGGCGAGCAGGCCGCACCAGCAGCCGAGGACGGCTGTCCATGCCTCGCGCCCGCCGTCGGGGTAGTCCCCGTTTGTGTCTCTGCTTTCTGGGTCTGCCGGACGCGCATGTTGGCAAGTGTATACCCGCGGGACGGGGGGTTTTTCTCCCCCCTTGGGCAGACGAACCTGTGTGTTTCATTGCAGATGGCGGCTAGACGTGGGATGTCTGGATAATACACCGGGGCAAGGAGGCGAGGCGTGGTGTGGCTCGTTTACAGCGTCTTGGGTTGGCCAAGGGCGGATTTATAGACGAGATGAGCTGCGATGGGGGCTGGCATTGACCGTCGTCGAGACTTGCTCGGTGGGCATTGTTTGCAAAGCATCTGTGGGATGCTGAAAGACCGGGCATCGGGCATCGGGCATTGGGCAAGGAGGATGGATCATTGAGAACTGCATTCTTAGTGAGTGAGTGAGAGAGAGAGGCTCTTGCTTGTTGTGACGTGAGAGATGCGTTGTAGATTCAACAGTTTGCTGGGCCGGGCTTGACGGGCGGCGCCGAGGAGCTGATGAGCCTTTGTTTGTCTGGACGGGAAACCGGCGCAGGGAGATGACGGGGTGCCATTTTGCTCGTGCAGCGTATGAAATAGGAGCTTATACGTCTCTGGTGTCGTTGTCGACGGAATCGTTGGGAAGATGGTGTGACCGAGGAGGTTTCGTGGACTATATTCCGCGTTACACTGTGGAAATGGGTAAGCGAGCATGGCCTGGGCCAGCCAACTGCCTGCCGTCCTGTCATGTACTAGCCGTCAGGCTGGAAGATGGAACTGGCACGCATGGTAAAGGTAGATTTTACTATATACGGGAATGCTGCCTGTTTCACCACAGACAAGTGTCATCTTGGGAACCACCACCAACATGCCGCACCCACGTCTCGCCCATGACTGCTTGCTAAACACCCCCGGACAGATGGAGCGCCTTTTCAATGTCCGTCACGCCCAGGGCGCCCTCCAACGAGGACATGGCTCCGCCGGTGGCGCTGTCCAGGAACGCGTCGACTTGAGGGAGGCCGATGCCTTGGAGGAGCATGGCAACGGCTTCGCCTACGGCCTGGACGGCGCCGGGCCCGGCACCACTCCTGGAGAGGCCGAGCAGCTTCTCGGAAAAGGTCACGCCGAGCGCGTCCTCGAGCTGCACGAGGGGGGTTAGTCTGATGCATGCTGCTGGGGGACGTGGGACGAGGAGCAGGCAAACCTTGGGGAGAGCACCGCCGAGGAGGGTGTCGAGTGTGCCTTCGACGGCGGTTACACCGACGCCATCTTCTAGCTGGAGTACGACGTTGCCGACCTGCGTGATGAGAGATCGCTGGCTGAGCTCTGAGGCGGACACTGTTAGCAAAGTGGTTGACGAGTGTGGTCGATTGTGAAAGACTTACTGGTGGGCACAGCCAGGGCTGAGCTGGCAAGGAAGAGAGCGGCGGCGAGCGAGAAGCGCATCTTGGCGAAGCGAGGTGGTTGGCAGGAAAGGAGTGAATGGCTAGCCGTGGTTGAGGGTTCTGGTTATGAGCTGGTGGACAGGATTCTCGAGGCCTTTTGTACTCGATTCGACGGGATATACATATGTAATTGACTCCGGTCGTTGCATCCAACGATGAACACCGGCCGTCCGATGCGGAAATTGGAATCAGTTGTTATCAATATCGCGGTCCACCTTTGATAGAGTCGGAATGTATATCGCCTCGTCTCTGTATCTCAATCTTCATCCAATGTTTGCATGGCAACGTCAAGATCGACATGGCAACCTCGGAGTGAAGGCTAGCTTGTTATCCGATGGTTGCAATACCAAGTCCGTCACTAGGCCTTGGAGGGCGAGGTCAGAGCGCGGCGGCCGGGGAGTAGATCCCCTCTTCAACTGCTTTCATCTGAAGCTGCCTTATCGTCTGACCCTTGTGTCGGGGTGCAGAAGCGGGTAATGAGGGCTGTCTCGCTGGTCCATGTTCAAGATGAGGCAGGCGGTCATGGCGCCTAAATCTGGCAGATGCCGGATGAATCTGGGGCGGCTATAAGAGCACTATTGAGGAGTCTCTGGTTTTTTGTACATTGGTCCGGTCTTCAAATGTCGGGAGTGTCACTTTTGGTAGCAGACGTTCTCCGCGGGTCCTGTTTATTCTGCGGACAGGGTCCAACTTGAGCTGCCTGTGACGCCGAGTCTCATTTCTGCAGATATCCAGACATTTCCAGAGAAAGTAAACATAACTGAGAGAATCGATATCATGCTTTGTGCCCCACTTTGTGTTTAATGAACTAGTGGCTGCCCGCTTAGATGTTTGCTCGTTAATCGGAAATGAGCTGGTTGATCCAACGGTGATGTGGCGCTTGCATAGCACCGTCGTCTGTGTAGCACTCAGTTGGCCGGCAAACTTTGATCGAAAAATCCCGCTGCCGAATACATGGCTGGCGTCTGGTGAGTTATCAATTATGAGGAAGAAAAAAAAAAAAAGGTGAAAGGGCAGGCCCGCCGCTTCTCTCATTTTATCCCAAACTCCGTGGCACAGAGCAAGCAATGTGACGTAGAGATGCGCTATACTTGGCATCAACGGACTTTCGCGGGCTTGCCTATCTACGGGGTTTCGCCATGTGAAGTTATTGAAATCATTGTTTGCGGCAGCGAATACCGATTACTGTGCCTGCAAGATACGCCGGTCCACTGTCACGTATATGCTGAACAGTCAAGTACGTGAGAGGCTCGGATGCAATGACATTCCATGTACTGCGACTTTCTCATTCTGGCTGAACAACACATGCATTGTTTACGGACACTGTTTCCGCTTGGCAAGTCAAGGTTGAAATTAAGATGCCATCTTCAAATGGCCTCACAAGTCGGTGGACATTGTTCAGATTGTGGGGAATGTCGACTGTAAACATGAAATTTTCGTTGGACTGCTTCGTAGCTGAAGATGGTTTCCATTTTCGGGAGCCGAAAGTGAATTAGTCTCAAGGCAGAGCGGTAGTGGCTCTAGTTATATAAGGTGTAGGTTTGGTGGCTGAGGGAGAAGTCATCCAAATCCCACAGTCACATCACATGTAAACTTGGATTGGCGGAAGGCATCTGAATTCTTGTTGTAAAATACCTGTGTACATGTAAAGTTTCTTACAGCTATTAAAGGCTAGGCCAAAAAAGTAGCTGTACTTAAAGCCTGCCTTGTTAATCCTACAAGGTACTATTGTATATAAATTTATATATAAATGTACATGTCAAATCTCTTAGCTATAAAACACCCTACCTAGGCAAGGTACAAGGGAATAAAAAAATACGGCTAGCCGGGTCTTAAACCATGTATAGAGGTGTTAATAGCTTGAAGTAATATACGTTTCTGAAAGACCTTAAAAACGCACTTGTAACCGTAAATTACACACATATTAAGGCGTGCACTGATAAGGCTATAAAATTTAATCAACATAAATTAAATGAAATTTATTTATATAAAGGGACCGTCCTGCCTGTTTGGGTTTAACGCCTGGCCTGCCCGGCAGTTGCAAAACGGGAATAGAGAGAAGGAAAAAGCGGGGCGCCGTTGATGCACCAAGTCCCAGCCCTGGTCTTTCAATCCTGGTCTTGACAACTCGCCTCGTCCACCTTCACTCGAACAACCATTTCGTCATTGGCTAACATTCATGTTCCACCCCGTCATGAACAGACGGTTTGTCGACTTGAATAGAGAATTGCCATGGAGCATGCTACGCGGCCCTTGATAAAGCGGCCCAGGGCCGTGCAGGCGTGTAGCGCCTGCAGGCAGACCAAGTCCAAGGTAAAACCATATCTTGTACTCCCCGGTGTGATTCTGCCTGCTTACATTCGATAGTGTGATGGCAGGCATCCGTCCTGTGAGCGGTGTATCAGGTGTAATATCACTTGTGAATACACCCAGAACAGCCGAGACAGGCGCATGGATCGGCAGGAAGAAAAACGGTAGGCAGCCTTCCGTCTCCAGCGAACAAGACTTTGAGCGCCACTTCCCCCCACCATTGCATGCGAATACTGACATTTCAACAAGAGCACATCTCGCATTAGCTAATCGAGTCCGAGAGTTGGAATCCCAATTGGCTCTAGTGAAGCAGACCCAAGCACAGGACGCCATCTCGCCCAGCAGTCATGGCGGCAGCGCGTCTTCCCCGGCCCATGCCAATACTGGCGGTTTGAACTCTGAGGGTGCAGTTGAGTCAAGTGCCGATGCGATAGCAACAGGCCTCTTTGATGACCAACCCGGGAATGCCGATATAGGCTACTTTGGTAAGAATGATGGCTGGGCAGCATGGGAGCGTAGAAAAAAGGGCGAGGACTGATATTTGCAAATACTGTAGGCGCCAGCTCAAATCATGCCTTCTTTTGGTCTCTAACATCGTCCTTGGAGGAGCTGAACAAGAAGAAGCCGGGGCGGCAGAATGTTCCATTCCGACAGGTCGGCGCAAATGATGGGCCAAGACGGCTTCCCCTGCCGCCGCTTAAAGTGGTGACCGCAGAGCGGCAACCGTTACCTCAAGAAGACTCATTTCCTGGACGAAGACTAGCGATTGATTGGGTAAATAGATTTTTCGACATGGTGGCGCCCGTTCTCCCCTTTGTCAACAAGTTCATGCTGGTTCGAGAGATTGACCTTATAGACTCCCGGACCGGCACTTGGCAATCGTGCCCTTCTAATACCCAGGCCCTGATGAGCATCGTCTTTGCCCACTCATTGGCCATATCCGAAGATGGAGCCGCGGAGCCATTCTATCGCCGGGCCTTGGGCCTGTTGGATGAGAAAGGGCTCTATCTGCCGACCATCGAAGCCCGTAAGTACCCTGACCCTCTACTACGGGCCGATTCTTGCCACATGGGAATACTAATGCTGGTCAGTCCAAGCGCTGCTACTCCTGGCAAACTTTCAACAGAACAGTCAACGAGCACAAGAGAGCATCACTACTCATTTTCGTGCTGTCAAAGCTGCATATCAGCTTGGTGTCCATTCGCCATCCTCGTACAGTCGATTCGGAAACAAGGACAATGAGCTGCGATCCTTGCTTTGGTTTGCGGTTATAAATGAGGACCGGTAAGGATCACCAGCTGTCGTAATACGGTGATGAAACTCACTGTTTCCAGAATCATCGGTGCGGGCTTGGGCCGCCCATTTCTCGTTCCCGCTCAACATATTCAGACCAAGCTCAAAGATCTGATGAGCCATGGACACGCTGGACAAGGTGACGATTCTAAACTTGGATGGTCGAGTCTATCTCACTTTCGGCATGTAATGTACGTTTTCGTTCACAAGTGCCTATTCTTGCTCTGACAGGCGGCTGGTAGCAAGTACCATGAGATTATCGGCAACGTAGTTGACGTTATGCACAACTCAAATATTACGTCGACCAATGGCCTCACCCTGAGTGAGCTTGTGCCCCATGTCATGGAATCGCTACGGAAGCTGGAAACGCTTGGAAAAGATGCTGCACCCTACACAGTACTCGTATCGAACGCGACTGTTGATTCATGGCTGGCCACGGACCTCGAGGAACACAGGTATACAATACTGAGCTCCTTGTATCACTACCGCGTCACCATGCTGGTCAATGCCCCGCTGCTATTGGCGGTATTGTGGCATGTCTTGACTGCTGCAGACACAGGCGACTCGGATCTCCACGTCAATATTGCCATGTCCATCCTGCAAGCGTACTTGCAGACCATCAACAACTTTCACAACCTGCTTTGCACCATCTTGAGGATCCAACGGTCATTTTTGAGGCAGAATGCCGCGTGGTGGCTGTGCAATTATATGAGTGAGTTTGAAAGGAGTCTGCAACGGGCCGTGCTAATCCGTGATAGTGGTGTCGATAAATCTTCATTTATTCGGGCTGTGGCTGATATCGTCGAATAAACCGGACATATTGCCGCCACTGGGGAAGACGAGCCTCGAAATCGAAAGCCTGATGCGGCGAACTTTGGATACGCTGAGATTGGTAGGCGGGACCAGCATCATGAGCAGGAAGGCTCACCGCTGTCTGCAGCAATACCTCGACTCCTTCACCAAAGGTACGCGCATTCCCCGTATTGTGTGACAAAGGACATTGGCTAACAGCGGGTGTTAGATGTCGAAGTGCAGAACCAGATTGGCGTGGAGGCTCCTGTGCCGACGGAGGCGACTAGGCCGTGGCCATATGGTCTTTCCTCTGGCGGCATGGCATGGGATGGCAACATGGACGACCTCATGGCGGGCTTGAGGGCGGAAGACTTTCTTGGGGATGACATTTTTGCCATGAGTTACAATATTAGTGACTTTGACGCCACGGGATTTATATAATGTCACTGGTCAGTATAACAGTCCATTGTATTAACGGAACTCATTACTCGCTGTGCATGCCACTGTGGAACCATTGATGAACTAGTCAGATCTGTCCGGCCTCTTTAGTAGGCGCAAGCACAAGGCCAGTGCACACTGGTCTGCTGGCGTGTCGTCAACTTGTTGTATCTGTGTTTCCGAATACTTGGAGCAATGAAACGAGTCACAAAAATAGACACGGCTAGGCCAAAGACGACGCTCCACGATGGAGGGTGGTACAGTACATGCGACAAGAGGGCACCCCTCCAAACACGACTGCATGAACACGGGGCATCTCCCCGCCCCGCTGATTGGATCGCATTGTGGCCGGCCCCTTGCGGAGACGGCCGTCGGCACATGCATAAATGGTCATCGGTGGTGTTGATGTTGCATCGATGCCGCCCGCGTACCCGTTGGCAACCAGGTGGACTTGTTCGTCGCCGACGGGTCGATTCCTTTCCAGAAAACACCCTTGGCCGGCTTCAGCTTCAACCTCGATCCTGTCCTCTCCGCCACCCCATGCTGCCCGTCATAGGAGCCGAGCCCCGAAAATGAGCGACCGCGGGGACGAGGAAGATCGCCGCCTCCTGGATGAGGCGCTGGCGGCTGATCCCCCATCTTACGAGTACGACGCTGGAGCCAAGAGCCGATCTGGCCGATCCGCATGGACCTGGCTGGGGCTCGTCTTGGTCACGGTGCTCTTGGCCATGCCGCTGCTGGCGTACGTGCGGCGTGGTGGTGAGGCGTCGCCGGCGTCCGGCCCGGATGGGCAGCAGCTCGCGATTGTGCTGCACCCCGAGGAGCATGTGTGGCGAGGGGCAAAGACGCTGCATTTTCACTGGAATGTGACTCTGGGAACCACGTCGCCGGACGGCGTGGAGAAGCAGGTGTATCTTGTCAATGGTCTGTCTTGGCCGGCGCCCTACTTTGCTGCCACGCGTTTGCGAGAAACATTGAACTAACCTGGTCCAATTGAAGGCGAATTTCCGGGCCCGACAATCGAAGCCCGCTCTGGGGACGGCATCATTGTCCACGTGCACAATGGCCTGGCGGACGAGGGCCTGGCGATACACTGGCACGGCCTGCGGATGAAGGGCTTCAATGCCATGGATGGCGCCGTCGGCTTCACGCAGTGCCCCATTGCGGCGGGCCGCGACTTTGAGTACAACTTCAAGATTGGCGACGACGAGCACGGCACCTTTTGGTGGCATAGCCACGCTGAAGTCCAGAGGGGCGACGGGCTGTACGGCGGGTTCGTCGTGCACCGGCCTGGCGTTGGGCCAAAGCACCCGGAGGCTCTTGTCCTCGTCGGTGACTGGTTTCACCGCAGGCAGACGGACGTGTTCGACTGGTTCTTTAACTGGGCGAGCGTGGGAAACGAGCCCGTCCCGGATTCCTTGCTTGTCAACGGCCGCGGGCGGTACAATTGCTCCATGGCGGTGCCCGCTCGCCCGGTCGTCTGCACGCAGCGGTCTAGAGAGGATTTACCGCCATTGCTGTACCGAAGGCCCAAGGACGCACCGGTGAAGCTGAGGGTGGTGAATGTCGGGACCGTGGCGGGCGTGACTCTCCGCGCGGATGGGGCGACGATGCAGCCCGCGGCCGTGGATGCCGGTTGCGCCGTCGACGACCGGCCCGGCCGCTCCGTGGGTGTTTTGTATCCCGGCGAAAGGGTAGATTTGCTGGTGAACGGGGACGGCGTGGGCGAGCAAAATTACCAGCTGCACGTTGAGCTGGACGACGAGTATGCGCGCCTCCCCAACCTCGAAACGCAACATCAATTGCTTTGCTAACCGTGGGACAGGCACTTTGGCGGGTTTCCCAACCCGGCCCTGGACCCAATTCACAGCTTCGACTTCTTTCCCTCCCGTCTCCGGAGCAGGCAGGAAGATGGCCCGCCTATTCTCCCGCCGGACGACGGGCAACACCGTGATCTCGCGACTCTCACGGCCGCCACGCCCACGGGCGCACTCGCCCCCAAGGCCCAGGAGACAATGGTGCTGTACTTTAAAATGCAGATGCTCTCCCGCCTGCAGAACAGGCCCATGGGCTTCGTCAACAACACCTCGTGGAAGCCGCAGGATCCGCCGCTCCTAGCTACAGACCGCAGCCTCTGGGACGCGGACCAGTTCATCCCGTTTATCAATTCTTCAAAGACGAGGGACGTCGACATTGTCATTAATAATCTGGACGATGGGACGCACCCGATCCATCTGCACGGGTACTCGTTCCACGTCCTGTCGTCGTTTAGAGCCGAAGGCCGCAGCGGATGGGGCAGTTACAACCCCTTCGAGTCGGGGCCCCCCGTGCCGCCGAACCTCGTCGACCCCGTGCGCAAGGATACGGTCGGCGTGCCGAGGAGGGGCCACGTGGTGATTCGGGTGAGGGCGGATAATCCGGGGGTGTGGATGATGCATTGCCACATGCTGGTGCATATGGGGACGGGGATGGTGACGGGGCTGCATGTCGAGGGCGACGAGAAGATTGTTGGTGTGGAGAGGGCGGGCAGATTGTGTGCGTAGATACATGGCCGGTCGATGGAATTTGAATACGTCCATGTCTGGTTGGAGCGCGTGTTATAGTTGTGTTGGTAACGCCTGGCACCGTGCTGGATGCCGTTGACAGTGGACTTGGAGGGTCTAGGGTTTGCCATGGAAGGAGAGGAATCGGGGTTGAACTAGAGGATGTTCAGGCTATTCAGTTGTAGAAATGTTGTAACGTTAAAGGGACTTTTTGCGTAATGTGCGTGCTTGTATTGAGTCTGATACGGCCTGCTGGCTGCGGGTAGCTTCCGTATACGGCCTCAATACCCAGTTCTGGAATATAACATGGGAGCTAAAGATGGTAAGAGAAGTGAGGTTTTTGTAGATTAATAAAAAAAGAGGTCATTCATTCTCATATTCTTTTCGAACTTTTGAACTTTTCACTGGCTAATATAACTGCAGTACAATTTAAACACTAGAATGAATACTCTGAGTACTCTTCTAATACCACGATTTTAGATATGAGCTCGTTGTTAATATACTTGGCTTCAACTTTATTCCTGGTTTTACTTGTTAGTCAGTGCAAGGAAAAGCTCCAATCCAAGACACACGTCTAGCATCAAAGTGCACGCATTTCTCGCAAGACATCAGACAGAAACCCGGTTATATTAACCTGCGCAAGATGACAAGGGATTCCATTCCCCTCTTTACAAGCACCGCCCAGCGGAAAAGATGGCGCGCAGCCCCTATCTGAAGCTTGGCTACGACGTGCGAATAGACCAGTCCACCAGCACCACGTGTACATGTAGCTGAAAAACCCGAAATCCCTTGCAACATGAAGCAAGAACAAATAACCCGCTAGTGGCCGGCCGAGCTTAAACTCTAGCAGACAGAGAACTCCCTACAACGACCACAGCTTACCCCCGATAGAGCTGCCTGTGAATCGAAGCCCTACAACGCCACCAAACAGAACCCGCACCCGCGACGGGATTACTTTGCCGCCTCGGTAAGGCGGTCCTTGGCATCGGAGAAGCCAAAGAGATTTCTCGTGTATCGGTCAATCTGACACGCCGTGGGCATTAGCACGCCGCTCATTCCCCAGGAACTGGTTCAACGTACCGCGCCTTCTCTGCTCTTGCGAATGCGAGCAAGTGGCTCGTCGAGCTTGCCAATCTCCTCGGCGACCTTGTCCTCTGGCGCGGCCTCGATAGCTGCCGCCCTCTCCTTGAGGAGGTCAATGGTCTGCTGCCAGCCCTCGCCCTGCAAGCATCCCGCTCGTGTTAGCGTGGCTGCTGAACCGTGTATTCTGTGACTGGATGCGGACGTACCTTGCTCTCCTGCTTCTTGTCCTTGGCCTCTTGGAAGCTCTGAATCAGCACGTTCAATTGCTGAACCTCTTCCTTGATCTTGGCCGTGTCGACGCGCTTGCTGAGGGACGGTTCGCCAAGTGGGCTGGCGGCGACGGCTCCCACGAGCGCAGCGACAAGAGTGTAAGAGAACTTCATTTTGGGCTTGGTTTGAGAGGGATACTTGGATAGTGCTTTAGAGTAGAGAAGAAATGCTTGTTGAACTGATTGTGTAATTGAGTGGCAGATGCTTCCTGAGGTCGGGGTCGGGCTGCCTTATATCCTCTTGGGAGAGGTCGTTGAAAGACTCGAGCCTCTGGCTCAACTCGGCAGAAGCTAAAGCTCATGGCAATATGTCGTGCAAATGTCGTCATTGCAGATGAGTCCAAGTTGGCACATGGTTTTGCGCGAGTCAATCCCAAACATAGGCAATTTATTCTGCTGGGACAATGCGCGAAACCGGCCGAGAAGGCTATTTCCGGGACTCGTTTTGGTGTGCTGAAATTACTCGCGTCGTCATCGTGTGCGGCCTCAATTATACCTTGCCCCTGGTGCTCACTGGTCCTAGATTCTAATAATCAAAGCACGGCTACAAGTTGGATTCGTGTAACCCGCTGATTCAGTGGTATTCCAAGTTTCATGCCTATCCCGGGCTCTGTTTGGACTGGCAAAGGCGTATTCGCTCCCGCTTGGTTCGACGTATTGTGCCTGGTTCTTGGCAGAGTTTCGCGTGGATGCATCGCGCATTAATCGAGCCGGCTGCAACTTGAGCCTCGAGCCTCACTGCTACCTCACGATGGGGTGCACGAACAACCGCGCGACGAACCTATGCAATAGAAATTGCGCCATTGTTTCCAAAGGGCTTATATGCCCCACTACCTAGTCCACTTTGGGTTCTTGGTAACTATGCTCATACTATAACTATCACATATTCGGTTGACATAGTCATGTCTCCCACCGAATCTGTCACACCACTCTGCAGACCTTAATATAATTATTCTGCCAAGAACGTTGTATACCATTTGCCAAGAGCGTTGTAAAACATCCGTGCTAAACTTTCTACGTGTTTTTTTTTTTTTTTTCGGAACGAGACTTGTTGTCCTGCCCGCTCCGGTCGCCGATTCGGTGCCGAAAAGTTTGCTTTGACTATTATTCGTAACTTGCAACAGATTGATTAGATCCACAAGCAAGTTCCTTACTCTGGGTGGAGCTGGAGAACCAAGACCGGACAAATGAGGCTTCAGCGCGGCATTCTATCCAATGAGTCAATGACATGGTTGCCGATGCTGGGCCATTCACACGATTATGCGAGGCGTAGTGTATCTGGAAGCAGTGAATCCTATACCCTCTCGGATGCATTTTGTGACTGCTGATGCCGACTGTTCGCCTCCGTCACTGCCGTCGTGCGCGGTGCCGGCATTCCGCCTCGGCCCCGACCGCCGCCGCTGGCGTCCGCAGGATGATTAGTAGGTTATTCGGTACTTTACTTGACGTTTGGTGCTAGAATAACGCTCTGGTACTAGCCTGTGAGCCTCTAGCTTATAAATGCAGCTTCTTTGGCGGCTTGGCTCGCTGCTTCGTGGCCTACCACGATATACTGACGTTTTGTCATTGGACCTGCCTCCCTTTCCTACGGAGCAAGTGCTTGTAGTTGCGCGAGATTCAGTCATGTGCCTTGAGCTAAATAGCACGAGATATGTACCGCCTGTTTAGAAGCCGCTCTTTCGGCAACAAGTGCTAGATAATAGTAGCTGGTATTTGCATGTTAGGAGGGTTTTCATAATAGCAGAGTGCCTAGGAAGATAGTATTAGTAATCTTATAGTAAGCGAGTATATAACTAGGTATAAAGGAATCTAGGTATAAAGTAATAACTTTATTTATTTTTAAACTTTTACATTTTTATAAGCTTAAAAATTTCTTTTTATAATTAATAATAATCTTGTAAAAAAAGTAAAATTATTAATATAAATTTACTTAATAGCCTTAATTTTATAAGCTTTTTTTTAAGCTTTTTTAGCCTTTTTCATTTTAGCTTTATAACCACGACCATTCAGGGCGTTCAAGGACATGGCAGCATTTCACTCGCAAAGGCATCGCAATGGCGTCTACTGCTTCACCCCCAAATGCGCCACGTACCATTACAATCATGGTCAGTACATTTTGGCAGTGCGCTTGTTGCGCGTCCGTAGCTTTTATCCACATGGCCGTGTGCCCACCACAATGAAGTCGTAGTTAAGGGAGACGGATGGGGGGAGGCAAGGTCATGTGGTGGCTTCGCTTTGCGGCATTTTGAGCATGTTGAAGGATGCTGGAAGCAGACTACGATCATGAGGCACAAGGACATCAACCAAGTAGGACATCAGAAACCTTGTTAGAAAATTTACCCAGCTTTCGTACACGCGTCGAACCTGATGGCTGTTCAAGGGGATAGTGTCGTTTTCCGTCAACTAAAGATGTACGCCGTTAATACGACTTACTAGTCACCAAAGACATTAGAATTCAAGTCAAAATAGTCCGCAAATTAGCCTTCTTCTAGCGACAGATACACACTATAAACAATGTCTGATATTATGCCCAAGAGAAATGCTCGGAATGCAAATAGACCCCTCCAGACTTGGATCCCTTCAGAACCTTCAGATTTGCCTCCGCAACAGCATTTCGAACGTCATTTTGCATTGTAGCCGGTCCACAAACAAAGACCGAGAGCGATTCACATGCGTCTGCCACTCTTGCCGCCTCTTCCTGGATGACCAGCGGTAGTTGTGGCCGGCCGTCGAGTTGCTTGGCCAACGTGGCCAACACCGGGCTATGTGTTGTGCTTTCTTGGGCGGTGATGCCGTCCGGCGAGGAGCTTGACTCTGCTGGAAGGTCTTGAGCCTTGTCAGCTAAACCGACCTCTTGTGCAGCCTTGCCAGTGAGGTGTAAGTGGATACTGATGTTGGAAAGCGACTCGCTTGTTGAGTATCGGGACAACAGCTCATCGACAGCTCGAAGGTACCATTTACGACTGGCGGTGTCTCGAGTCGCCAGTATGACGCGGAGAGTAAACGGCCGGGAGGTCCTGCGCTCCTGGCTTTCGGTCTCTTTCTCCACGCTGTCGAGGTCTGTTGTTTGGCCAGGCCCTTCATCGACGGCCTTGGACTGACGCAAGACAAATTGCTCAATAAACGGCAGGGTCCAGCCCGCGCCTGACCCTCCCGCCATGATGAGAAGGTTGTCGCTGTGAGCGTACGCCTGAATGTTAATCCCCCCATAGGGACCATCCACAAGCACAGGAAGCAAGGCACCCGGGTGGTTCAGAGCAAACTGGTTCAGACGTGCGGTAAAGCCGCGCTGGTGGCGAATATAGAAGACGAGCTCCGACTTTTTATTTACTTGTCGGTATGGCAATGAGCATATAGTGAATGGATGGGCCGAGGCGGCCTGCAAGAATCCAAAACTGGTGAAGCGGAGGAAGCAGTGCTGTCCCGGCACCCATGTGAAGTTTGCCGGGATTGAAATTCGCGTGAAGCCGTTTTCTTCAACGGTGACTTGAGCCTTTACCCGCGTGCCGTACTCGATACAAGTCCGCAGCCAGGGATAAACGTAGCAAGGGACGTACACGGCCGCTGTCGCAATGAAGTAGTGCCTGTGGGAAACATGAGCGTCCGAGGTTAGGGGTGTATGGATATTTGCAGCCCACTGCTTGGACTTACCATGAAGTCAAGGTGTAGTCGCAGTGCCAGAAGAATATCAGGACAAATATGGCGGCGGCGAATAGGTGAGTGGCTTTGAAAAATTCATAACCTAAATTTCTGCGCAATGCATCAGATATGCAGCCATGGCCGTTATACGTATAGTGCATATATTCTGCGCAGCCAACTTACCTAATCACACTGTGGGAGGCAAAGGTAAGCCAAGCCTGGAATATGATGGCCACGATGCCTGTCCAGTAAAATAAAAGACCCATCTCGAACTGCATGATCATGTCCCCGAACCGGATGTGGTAGACGATGAACGGAAACGTGTGCATAAGTGCCAGGAGGAAGAAGACGTAGGATATCCATCGGTGGAAGACCTGGAGCTTCTCGTGGGAAACGCCCGTGAGGAGCGTGATCCAGTTCGTCTTGGTTGCTGTCGCGCTGGGGAGAAATCAGTCAACACGTGTATTTGGACAAGTGCTGGATCGTGTGGTCGTGGGGGCGGGCCTACAAGACAAAGGGCATGCATGCCAAGGCCATCCATCCCGATCGTGTTCCCAACGGTGGAGAACCACCAAAGCCAAGGCTTGGCCAGTAGTATGGCTCGGGAATCAGATCCATGCCTGCGAAGCCCAGCACGTCAGTCTTGATATCTCAGACGCATGTATGTAACCGGACCAGTTCGACTTACAGAGGAAGAAGACGGTCCCCGCAGCTGCCAAGAGTAGAAGCCCCAAGGGGGCCGAGTTCCATTGCAGGGCCTCGACGTGGAAGCCACGGTAGGACAAGTATCGTGTCAAGGCGATGGCTCTTTTCCATGGGGAAGAGGCGCGCCAGGCCCGATATCCCAACAGCTGCGCGACAAAGTTACCAATGACGAAGATGCCGAGGACGCTCATGAGAAAGGCGATGGTCGACAGCGCAAAGACGTAGTCGGCGATGAACCTTGTATGCGATGTCTTGTTAGCAACGTTGGCGGAGGACGTAGACTCTGGTCCTTGGACGGTTGATGGGATTTCCTCACCAAAAATGCCATCGCTCCTGGTAGTAGGTGCACTGCTCTTCGGTAAAGCCAAAGCTATCGCAGGCAAAATCCCGACTCCCCGTCAGAGTGATGGGCGGAGTGAGCCAGGCTGCCGACATGGTGGTGAATGTAGTTGATGCCTCTGGCGAGAAAACAACAACGCTTGGGTGTGCATCTTCAAAGTTGACGGCCGCAACACCAGACAGGATTCATTTTATGGGCAACTTCCGTGGCGTATGGTGCTGGTGCTGGTGCGAGGACGAGGACATCGACCAACATTGAACTTGGAGCTTGTGCCTGTTTGGCAATAGCATGCCGGCAGTCCAGTCGTGAAGCAGCCATTACCCATTCAACGTTATCGACTGGAGCTGATGCTTACACGTCAATAGTATTGACCATGTGGTCAGTGCACCGCGCGCAGGTTGTCGGTCTGGTAGGTCTGGGGTGTGGACCCAGTCATAGCCGTCCGTGGTGGCGCATCAACCATGCACGTGTCGATCCATACCATTGAGGTAATGTAGGTGCAATTTTGAGCAAGTTTGCGCTCAATGTACTACCAAGCAGCCTTGCCTGCAGCTCGATTCGACAAACATGAAGCATTCAACACGGCCTGTGTATCCCTGTGGCGCGTCTGGTCAAATAAAAAAATACAGCTACCTCGGTGCCGTGACATCCGTGAGTTGTTTTATCGGCTCTCACGGCACATAACCAGTCTCAATGCTGGTGCCAGGCGTCTGGTGCGTCTGGGTCCATGTCTGCTCTCGGGCAACATGCAGACATGTAGGCAACTAGTTGACCCCATGTCGCCATGGGAGCAAGTGATATGGAAAATTTGGCTCTTCTATTCCTATTCATAACGCACTTGACTGCTTAAACGTGACGCTGGCGCAGACTCTCTCCTTGGTCCCGTCACGTCTCTTCCTCTTGGCGCGCGGAGCTCCTTACGCACACGCAACAATCGCCAACATGGACGCAGCATCGTCGTCAATGTCCATGGCAATGCCTTCTTCAACAGCCGGTGCCATGCCCATGCCATCATCCAACATGACCATGACCATGGAGTCCATGACCATGGTCTTCTTCGCCTCCACAAGCACGCCTCTTTGGTCCTCGGCCTTTACACCCAGTACGGCCGGCCAGTACGCCGGTGCATGCATATTTCTCATCGCCTTCGCCGTGGTGTTTCGCTTCTTGTTGGGATTGCGATGCAACTTGTACAGAGTGGTGGCCGCGGTCAAGCAGAGGCGAAGCGGAAGTCTGCTCCAGCCCGACACGATGGAAACCAAAGGGACGCCCTCCCGACGTTGGAGAGCTGGCGAAGCCGTCATTGTGGGCACGCTTGACGCCGTGATTGCGGGAGTGAGCTATCTACTGTCAGTCTGAAACCCATCTCCGTGAGGTGGCTCTCAAACGAAGCTGCTGCTGACCTTGAAATAGCATGTTGGCGGTCATGACGTTCAATGTTGGTTACTTCCTGTCCGTCATTGGCGGCGTCTTCTTGGGCAGTGTGCTCTCTAGCCATTTATCAGACAGCGTGGAGCGGCATTGAAGCGCTCTTCAACTGCCTTCAATGTTGAGTAATATACATTCTTTTTCTCGAGGGACATGCCATCTAGGCTCCATCAATTCGCTCTTCCGAATGTGAATGAATCACAAGTTTGGTCAGGCGTCACACAGTAGTAGCAGGGAAATACTCGGCTGTTCTTTCGACGTGGTCTTGCTCTCAACTAGATTTATCCGCCGTGCATGGCATACGTCGTAAACTGCTCATCTGCCTTCAGCCTCTCCATGTCCTCTTCTGCAAGACACACTGCCAGAGCCATCTCGCCGTCGCCCTTTCGCGGCATGAAATACACAAAACTCTGCAGCGGCGTGAACCACGGCCGGCGGACCGCCTCGGGGTTGCCAAGTCCCAAGTTGAAGTCGAGGGCGTAGCTGTCAGTCTTGGCCCACGAACTCACAACCACGTCGACCGAAACACGCAAAGACGAGACGGGTGAGACGTGTGATTTGTCGGCTTGGCCGTGCAAGTAGGTGGCCAAGGCACGCGTGTGAAAGGGCAGGATGGTGGTGTCGGGTTCTAAGGCGGCTCGCAGCCTGGATGCTATGGCGCCCAGCGGCAGTGCGACGAGCTCTTGCAGCGTGTACGTCGTATACGTCATGTTTTGCACGATACCCGTGTACGTCGCGGGCACGTCGACGTAGGAGCGCACGTCAACAGCCCGCGCAAAGGTCGTCTCCGTGTCGGGCGGCAAGCGAGGGAGGCGGGCGCGCATGATGCTCTGCCAGATGAATGCGCTCAGGGCGTCATCAGTGGATACGTAGCTGGAACCGCTCGGGAGAGTCTTGACAGCAATCGACTTGATAGATGCTAACGCCGTGGGATCAAGGCTAAAGCTTTCCCAGACAATTCGAGCAGGCTCCCCACCGTCGTCGAGACCATTGCGATTTGGAGCTGTCGCGGGGGTGGCCAGGTGACGGGCAAGCTCGGGACCGCCGTGGTAGTTGTCGAGAAGAGGAACGACGGTTTGGCGTTGGAGATTGCCCGAGAATTTCTCGTCGCTTGTGAAGGACTCGCCATGGCAGGCCTTGGAGAGGAGCCGCATCATCTGTCCTTGCCCCGTCATGTCCATGGCCTGATGCTGGCCGAGGAACGTGAGCACCAGACCGCCGACGATGAAGTTTGCCTGTACAAGGAAGACGGGCGAACCAGGGTCATTTCTGCTCATGTCGTCGGCTGTGGGAAAGGTGTGGCGAGGCGCCATGACGGATTCATTCAGCATTCCCATCGGGAAGTTGGCTTGCCTGAGTCGCGCCATGGTCGGAGCTGAGACGTCGGTCCTGAGGTCTTTTACTGCCAAGTATGGAATATCTCGCAGCTCCTTGATTTTGAAGACGCCAGTGTTTCCAGCGCTTGAGCCCTCGACGACGACCTGGCCTGCGACCCATGGAAAGCTGGCCGATAGCCGCTCAAGGCCCGAAGTCAGTGTGCTCACGATGGCGGACTGCGCAACATGGTTGGGCATTGCAAAGCAGAGACAAATTTGCGTGTGGATGTTGAGTCTCGGCTGCTGTCCAAAAATGTCCAAGCAAACATCCATGGCTCCGGGAGAGTGCGCCATTTGGTCTGGTGGTCGTAGGCCAGTGGTCACGCAGAATCACGGCTTGGAGTCGCTGCCATGAACCGTCTTCGCTACAAAAGCAACTGATCAACCCTTCTCCTGTGCCCAAAAAAGGGGGGGGCGACAACACCTCAAAAAAATGTTTCAGTTTGTCATGCATGGCGGAAAATGCACTCGAGTCAATATCAATGGGATGTGCTAGTGCCGCAAGTGTTGAAGGAGCGGGCGCAAAAGGGTCCAAGGGTCTGTGTCGATCGTTTACGATGGAGTGGGGAAGTTGATGGCATGGCAAAGATACCATAACCCAGTTGTTTCTCGAGCATGGACACGAGTCCGACCATCGTAGAGCAGCATTCAGCAAAGAGACGTCGTCAGCCAAGATGCATGCCACACCTAGCAAGTGGCCAGCTACGGCAAGGCGGGCCGAAATGTGAGGTACACCTGCATAATACATACATATGTACATAAGACTGTCTAGACAGCTGACCCTTCGCGACTTTGTGTTCATGTATGCGCGCAAACTTGCTCATTCTCTCGCTGTCCCTCGACCGCGAGTGTAGATTATGCCATGGGGGCCGGGGGCCAAGGGGGGGTGAATCTACCACCGCTGACGGAGGGAAAACGGCATCAAACTATCCGCCATGACTTCGTGGAAGCTTGCGCACGTTCCCACGATATAGTCTGAATGGCAAATTGCCGCCAAAAACTGCGCAGCGGCGAATGCCTAGATTCCGCAGGAAATGATGCAATTTCGACAGTCTACAACAAAAGCAGCATAGCATCAATGATAGCTTCAAGTGGCGATAGGTTGCTGATGCAAAGCCATTTTCAGTGCCTATTTTACTTTTGATCCAAGGTGGTGGTGACCTGTTCAACGGCATCATCTTATATTTAGCCTCCATGACGCACACTGCACAGACAACTGGCTCACACATCAGGGTTACTTTGACGACACACATGCCCACGCCGCCGAGATGCAACGAAAAGTGTCCATCATCGGCGCCGGCCCGTCTGGTTTCGCCCTTGCGGCTGATGTCCAAAACCGCGGCATGGATGTGCTGGTCTATTCCCACCCGGACCACCTTCGATATGCCAGCGAGGTCATGGACAAGGGTCAACTGACGGTTCGTGGAAGGGTTACAAGTTCCACGCCTGTCCGTATCACCTTTGCCATGGCCGAGGTGATTGAATTCTCGACAATCATCGTCCTCACCGTCCCGTCTACCGGACACGAGACGGTGCTGCAGCAACTGAGAGGATTTGCTCTGCAGCAACACACCATCATTGCCATACCAGGCAACCTGTTCTCGCTCATCGCTGACATGGAGATTGGATGCGTCCTCGAGACCAACCTGTCCCCGTATTCCTGCCGAATGGAGAAAAATGTAGTCGTGGTGATGGGTAAGAAGGACCTCATCTTCATTGCGGCACTCGGTGGCCTTCCAAGTCGCGCAGTACGCGACGCGATACAACAGGTTGTGCTGGTCAAACTCTGCTGGTGCAGCAGTGTCATTGAAGTCTGCCTGTTGAATGTCAACGGCGTGTTCCATCCACTCATGATGTTGATGAATGCGGGCCGCATCGAAAGCACCAATGGCGACTTCCTCCTCTATCGAGATGGCCTGACCGGCTCCGTGGCCAAGGCCATCGTTGCGGTCGATCAAGTGCGGATGGAGATAGGCAGAGCATTCGGCCACAGCCTCAAGAGTGCCTTGGCGATTTCCAATGAGTGCTACGGTCACAACTTTACCGATCTAGTCGATCTGGCAAGGAATTCGGGCCCCCACAACAGATTGAAGGCTCCGTCGGATCTTCAAAACCGAAACCTCTCCGAGGATGTTCCCGACTTGCTTGTCTGCTGGCACAGTCTGGCCGAGAAGCTTGGAATAGATGCATCTCCCATCACGGCCATCATCGTCCTCGCCCGGATGGCTACTGGTGTAGATTATTTCCTGTCTGGGAGAAGTCTACAAAGGCTTCATCTGGAAGACGTGTCGCGGAGTGAGCTGATTGGGAGATTTACGGTTCAACGAGACCCCATGTTTGTCAGTCAGTTGTAGTTTAACGAATGGTCTCCGAGTTTCCATGATTAAAACTTGTATCTGAAAAGCCTCGCTGCCCGAATCCTCGCGCCGTACACGGCAAAGACCAAGAGAAGTGGCGTGAGTGCAAGTGCGACGAAAGCCAGCAACGAGTTTCCCCAACCCCATCCCAATGACTTGTACATATTCAGGCCGCTAAGAGGAATCAAGGCCCCGGCGAGGCCTCTGAGTGCCGCATTAGCGCCATTGACGCTGGCAGCGTGATGCTCGAAGGCATCGAGCAGATACGTTTGGATGGCCGTGAAGATTAGAATGTAGCCGAACCCTGTCATGGCTGTCCCAACTTGAGGAATCATCCAGTGAAGATGCTTTTCCACTCCCCATCCATACAAAAATATCCCTAGTGAGAAGCTCAGGCCGCCGGGGATTGTGACCAGGAAGGGAAGGCGGTCCTCGGGCGTAATCCGTCTTCCGGTGCCGGCGCGTTTCTTTATCGTCTTGTCGCTGAAGTATCCAAGGTAGACGAGTCCCGACAAGGTGCCGAGGCCACAGGCAATAAATACTAGCCCAGAGGCAAAGGTTGAGAAGCCATAGGCCTCTTTGAATATGATGGAGAAGGTCGAGAAAAATATGTACATGATGCTGTATAGAACACAAACGTAGACGCAACAGGCTGTGACAATGGGACACAGTATGAGCATTTTGCAAGGTCGCAAGATGCTTCGCATGACGAGCGCTTGAAGACTCAGATCGGGAGCGAGCTTGGATCGGTAGTTGGGGTTTCCCGTATCTTTCCTAAGCCGACTTGCCTTCCTCTCTAGCAGCACTGGAGGATACGTTTCCCTCAGGACGGCCAGAGCAATGATTGTGACAAGTCCGGCCTGGCCCATTGTCAACGCCACGAGCTCTTGGACGAAATTAGGAGTTGGCGCCGGCTTACTGTAATGGAGATGATCCAGAAGATCCATCTCCAGCCAAGCACCTCTGCCACATAACCACCGATGACGGGACCGATCATGGGACCAACAACCGTGCCAACGGCCCAGAGCGACACGGCCTTTCCCCTCTTCTCCCGAGGCATCATGTCTGCGATGCTTGCGGGACCTATCGATATGGTGGCCACGCCTGCGAAGCCAGATAGAAACCGAAAGCTGAGGAGCGTCGCTTCATTTTGCGAGAGCGCGCACAAGACGGTGAATACAACGAACAGCACATTCGTTGCGTGGTAGATAATGACGCGACCATACAGCTCGCTGAGCGGCGCAAGAAGAAGCGGTCCAAAGGCGAAGCCTAACACGAATATCGACAGGACAAACGTCGGAAACGACGTTGAGCTGGTGTGAAAATCGGCCGATATGAGTTCCGCCGCGGGTGCGACTACCGACGACACGAGCGGTCTGCTGAGGGTGAGCAAATGCCTGAAGCCATCCGACGGTTGAATGTTGGCGGTTGTCACACGTACACCAGGAAACTCGTGGCAGAAATCGTCAGAATGTTGGCCCATTTTTTTGTCGCCGACCAGTTCATGGGATTCTCCGCGTCTTGGTCTTCGGGCTCGTCCCACCAAACCGTGAGCGAGGCGCATGGCCCGAGTCGTTGGTTGGCGTTGCGCAAGTATGAAGTCGTTGCATGTGAGACATGTACAGGGCATGCAGGACCTCTTGATTCGGACATGGTCCTGGTTCCCTCGGCCGCCTGCTCCATGTCTTCCGAAGACCAAGGCGTGGCGGGAGTGCGTGAGGATGCCATGTTGTCTGGTCGTGTGCTTGAGACCGTCTCCAAAGTCAACAGGCGGCACTGGGCTCACATATAAACTCTCCCCGCCCTGGCTACCCATGCTCTCTGCCTTGTGCATTGTCCCGGCTCGAGTAGATGCAGGCACCAGGTTCAATGTTGTCAATGCCCCATACAGAGTACCAGACGCTACTACCGGATGTCAACGGTGTCTAGTCTGGTATTGACACCCGGCGACCAGCCGTAGCTAGAAGACAGACAAGTGCCAGACCAGTTGTCATGTGCAGACATGGAGATACGGACAAGAGACAGGTACACAGAGCTCAATTTTATTCTATCGATACTTTCCAAGGCAGAACAGCGCACTCAACGGGCGTATGCCTTCACAGCCACAGTCACCAGGAGATCTATGTCCATATGAATACCATCCTCCACAACAAGTTTGTTCCATTCCGTCTTCATTTCCTCCCTTGCCCTTGGCCGGAGTTCCAGAGGGATGCTGCCGTACGTCTGTCCGGATGAGCTTGCATCCAGCCAGTCAATCATGGCGTCGGCATCCTTGGCCGACTTTGTGATTTTGTTGACCACGATGCTTCTCTCCTGGAACCCATTATCGTCCAGGAGACGCTCCATCTCGCGCCGCTTGAGAAACTTGGGTGCGCCCTTCTCTGGATAGTTGCGGTATGGCTCCCTGGAAAGCACATGGTCCTTGATCCTCTCCTGTGCGCTGGGGGTATCGCCTGAGCCTCCTGAAATGCCCAGTTTCCCTCCCGACTTGAGCAGGCGTGCGAACTCCCTGAATGCCGCGGATTGGTCCTGCACCCAATGCAGGGTCGAGTTGACGTAGATGAGATCAAAGTGCCCCGTGGGAAACTGTGAGAGGTCTTCGGCTTTGCCCTCGCAAAAGGACAGGTTTGGCTTCTGAATCGTCTGGGCAATCCTGATGCGTTCCTTGCTGGGATCAACACCCACGACGCTGCCTTTTTCTCCAACGACTTCTGCCATGTGGGCGGCGATATTTCCAGGTCCGCACCCGACATCGAGAACTCTCAAGCCTGGACCAATATCGAGCCTTTCGAGGAGAAACAACCCTGCACGGTACTGGGTGTTGTTTACCCGGGTGTATTCCGTCGCCAGCTCCTCTGTATCCCCCATTGTACTTTATCAATCCCGGTAGCAGTCTCAAGGCTAGGATGCGAGAAAATGGTCTTTCTGCTGTTCTGGAACACGCTCTCGGGGACGATATGAGTAAGTGCTTGCGTCGTAGTTGTAAAGATGACGGGGACAGCAACAGAGTTGCAAACTTGCGACGATCAATACGCCACCGCTTTGAACCTGTCATGGGTCTGGTGTACATGTATTGATGTAACTACCAGCCAGATACCACCCCACCGTCAAGACCAGACCCAACAAAGACTATACACTATCAAAGTGTGCTTACTTCAGTCCATAATTGATTCGGTACAGAAACTGCCTTCACTTGCGGGGGGGCTGGGGTTATTCCGGAATCGGGATGCAACCACAACCCACGGAGCTGTTTTGAGCTGGTTTTCTTCATGCATGCGGCTGAACGGTACAGATGTTGCCGCGGACCCATTGATGTGCCGGACGTTGCGGCACAAGGGCGTGTGCAGGAATTGGAGAACAACCATGTCGGACAGGCATCGTCCAGATTGCCTGGCCAAGTCGGCTCTTATACTTACTCGGCTGAGTGAGCAAAGGGTCAAGTCTGGTTCTAGACGCGCTTGCCGACTTGGACAAGACCTTGCCCATCAATATACGTATCGATGGATTTGGCTATAGGATGCCTCCTTCTACGCCTTACATATCCCTAACTTTTCAAAGCGCTTTTTCCAGGGCAGCATCTAAAACGCATTGAGAACAGTGTCGAAAAACATCATGCTGATTCACATCATCTCCGTGACCTCGGCTGTCTCTACATTTTCTGTCCTCGTGAGTCATTCATTCATTCAACGCCATGACGTTTTGCTCATCATCTACAGCTCGTTGTTGGTCTCGTTATCCGGATTCTTCGTCACCGAATTTTCCACCCGCTTCGTTCAGTGCCTGGCCCTTTGGTCAACAGTTTGTCAGAACTGCCGGCCGCACTGGCTCTTGTCAAGGGAGAACAGCACCACTACTATAGGTCTCTGCATGACAAATATGGCCCGGTGGTGCGAGTGTCGCCCAATGAGCTGAGTTTCATAGGCACAGATGCTCGAGAAGAGATCTATGGGTTTCGCGTAAGTGCTTCAAACTCAACCACGTCCCTTGCTGACCCCAAGTCATAAAAGAAAGGCGGCCTTCTGATGGAGAAGAGTCCCATATTTCTCGGAGCCGTTGGCAGCGTCAATGGAGAAACTGGTGTAAGCCTGGCGCTGAACAAGGACCATGTCCGCCAGCGCAAGGCTTTGGGATACCTCTTCACAAACAGCGCATTGGCCAAACTAGAGGACATACTTCAACTTCACGTCGACAAATTCATAGCCGTGCTGGAGAAACGGGCATCTGAAAACCAAGCATTGAACGTCTCCGACTGGTGTACGCAACCGAAGCTCACCATCATCTGTGCCCTTTGCGCTGACAACCGAACGCAGACACATACCTTGCGTTTGACATGATGGGCGACTTGTGCTTCGCAGAACCTTTTGGGTGCTTGGACCAAGCTTCCGCTACCGAGTGGTCAACCTCTGTCATCAACGTTTTTGTTGCGGCTACGTGGGCACAAGCCATACGCCGCATATCCGGGGTTGGCACGTACCTTGAGCATCTCATGACTTGGCTTCTCGTCCCTACGACGGCTGCATCATGGAGATGGATTCATTTGCGTAATTCACGCGACAAGACACTCAGTCGCCTCCAAGACCCCAACAGAGAGCATGCAGACTTCATGTACCACATTCTGAAGAGCGAGTCCAGGAATCTGTTGTCCAAAACTGAAATCCAATTGAATATGGCCTTGTTTATTAGTGCTGGAACTGACACGACGGCTACAGCTCTGGCCGGGTGGACATACTTCATCTGTACTCATCCCGAGGTATACAAGCGGCTTACAACGGAGATTAGAGACGCTTTTACAGACAAGGCCGATATCAAATGTGCCAAGCTTGGAGAGTTGACGTACCTCGAGGCGACGTTGAACGAAGCTCTGCGTCTCTTCCCGCCATCGCCTGCAAGCCAACAGCGTGTAGTCCCTCCAGGAGGCGCCATTATATCCGGGTATTTTGTTCCTGGAGGAACCACGGTGGCAGTGCCTCCATGGGTATCAACACACTCAACCATCAACTTCAGGGAACCCGATGCTTTCAGGCCCACGCGATGGCTACGTGAGGACGCCGAGTTCCTGCATGACCACCTGAATGCTTCCCTGCCATTCGGAACAGGACCTAGGGTCTGCATTGGAAAGAACCTGGCAACTCTCGAAATGAGGCTCATTGCCTCCAAAATACTGTGCAACTTTGATGTTGAGCTGGACAGGAGTCATCATGAGGCTGCAAATCGGCAGTGGGGTCTAGGCGGCCGAATGATGCCCATGAAGGTGTTTCATTCCATGACAAAGCCACCTCTATGGATCAGACTTAGGCGAGTAAACCGATAAACTGTTGTTTGTGAGAAGCAAGAATAGAAGCAATATGCACTTGTTGACGTACGTGTCGGCTGATATATGGATATCAGCCGGGACCTAGTTGGCGATATAGTTGTTAGAAGCAGCGACAGCCATGATTACTACAAACATAATTGGCCAACGTGATTGGCCGCAGACAAATGGCTCTGAACATGCTCATGGAAATGCCTGTTCATGTGAGGTTTTGGAAGTAAGCCCTACTTCCGGTCTCTAACACTGCACATGATAGTTCACAGGGTCAACTGGTACCTCCCTTTGGACCTATCTTGCTTGGGACCTGTATAACGGACGCTGTAGCAAAACATGCTGCTAGCCAAGTGGTAGCTGCTCCTTGGCACTCAGTAGCCTGCCTATAAAAATCAACTGTTGAACATTGCCCCTGACGCCTGGCCATCCAACTACCCGCCACGTCGCAACCATTCCAGGATATCTCATAACCTATTTCATAGACAGCAGACACCTACAGGATGACAGCTCAGTAGGTACCAGCTCATTGAACATGTCATGTTGCGGCCTCAACGCCACTTTGAATGCGGTGGTTGCATCGTGGCGTCTGCCTCATCCCCATCATGCCACTGTCTCAGACGCTGGATATACCATTAAATGATTGTGCCACTCTTTTCACAGTCGACCTAGAAGCTATTTATCCTCTTAAACTGCCCGCCTAACCCCCCAGACTCAATGACCACAACGCACCCAACATGTCCACCGTCGGCGGTAAACCATTTTCCCGCATCGCAATCATAGGCGTCGGAGAAGTCGGCGGCGCAGCCGCCTTTGCGCTCATCATCTCCTCCATAGCCCGCGAGCTGCTCCTCGTCGACATCAACACCACCCTGCGAGACGGCCAGGTCCGCGACCTCTCCGACGTGGCCTACAGCTCCAACAGCGTGACGCGCGTGCGGGCAGCCACGCACCACGAGGCAGGCCAGTGCGACATTGTCGTCATCACCGCCGGATCAAAGTCTGTGCTGGGTATGAAATCTTTCTTTGCCAAACCTCCACGTCCCTGACGTTGACCCGCGCCCCCCAGGCCAGCCGAACCTCGAGCGCGTATACCGCAATGTGTCCATCATCCGAAACGTAGTCGACGCCATGAAGCCCATCCGGCAGGACGCCATTGTCGTCGTCGTCTCCAACCCAGTCGACCTGGCGACGACTCTTGTCCTCGAGCTCTCCAAGCTGCCGCGGGAGCAGGTCCTCGGCGCCGGCACCTTTCTCGACTCCGTGCGCATCCGGGGCATGATTGCCGACGAGATTGGGGTACACGCACCTTGCTGGGCATATCGGAGTTTGATGCTAACGTGGGCCAGGTCGCGGCGAATTCGCTCGACGTCTATGTGCTGGGGGTGCATGGGGACCCCCAGGTCGTGGCGTGGTCGACGGCGACAATCGGCGGCGTGCCCATGGACAAGTCGCTGCAGCATGGGAACCAGGTTGACCATGAGAGGGTGGCGCAGGAGTGCAAAGACCGGTCGCGGAGCATAATCCGGGCCAAGGGCGCGAATCCGTTTGGCATCAGCTCCATTGTCTGTAGTATCTGCGCGTCGATACTGCTGGACAAGCGTAATGTTCGTCCGGTCAGCTGCTTCCGGCCGGGGTATGGCTGCTGCTTCAGCTGGCCTGTTGTTTTGGGGAGAAAGGGCATCATTAGGGCTATTGATGTGCCGCTGAATAATAAGGAGAGGGCGGATATAGATGAGACGGCCAAGACGCTCAAGGCCACGGTGACTCATGTTCTTGCTGATGGATAGGCGGGACGTCTGAACGGCGGTTGGAATCTTTTTGGTTCGTTACTTGTGAGTCGTTTTGCTGGCTTGACGGGCCTGAAGAGAAGGTACGCAACTTTGGATCAAAATGTATTCGTTCCGCGGCTGGTGGTAGCTTGTAGTCTAATTGTCCTGGAACTTCACCATATATGATATCAATACGTAATATAGGGCAATCGCGGGGCTTCTACTACCTTGAAAATGAAAGTTTTGTCTCCAGGTAGGCTTCAACTTGGTTCTGCCTGCGGTGACTTTTATTATTACGAACCCAGACAAGATGAATTTAAGATTTATATGAGCGACTTGTCAGAGTATCATTGCAGATTGACTATTATCCTCCATGACAGTATACGCAGTTGACTCAAGGCTCAGAACAAAGTAAGGCATGGCCACTGTATAATTCGAAGCGTTTGTGGCCCCAGAAGCTGCCGTCAGCCTGACACCAGCCTGCTAGTCCTTGTTTTTGTCATGGCGGATTTTGACAGTTTGTGCCGTTGGAGCGGGTGAAGAAATGTTGTCGACCGTGTTGCATCATATGGCCTTCACTGTGAAATTAACAAAGCAACGGCGGTTCCTACAAGTTGTAGTATAGTGGGATTCGTACATCTCCACGGAGGGCCAGAGGGTGACAGCACAGCACTATGTCTCTTAAACAAAGGACTCTGACCGAGTTCTACACAACATGGAGGTTTTGAGAATACCTATTACCATCTGATGCTATAATGTAACTAATTCTATTACGCAGCAACTATCAGGTCTGGCACCAAAATTCTGAGCCCGGCAGAGTCCGGTCCTGTGGCAAGAAAACAATAGTGTGTGTAGTCGAATCAGTAGTTGAAGCTTCATGATGCTTGTCCAACACATGATAATTTAATATAGCCCCAGCACACGTAGAATAAAACGAGGTTCCCGGAGCCTATAGTAGGGGATTATGTCCGACATGGCGTGTGTATGTCAGACCCGAGCAAAGGTGACAAGTCTCCTGCTCTCCTGTCGGAGTTACGAGAAATCTTTCAGCCGTCCACTGTTCCGTTTGTGTGCCAAGCTGTTTCCCGTAAAATTCCCAATTGAGATGTAACTATTCAGGGAAGGCTGAGGTGCACGGAGAACCGTGCTTTGAGACTTGGACAACTAATATAAATATGGGACGCAAAACCAAGGACAAGGCGCCGTCCAAATAATTCAAGCAAGCCCAAACGGAGATTGAAGTTATGACATAGCCAAGATGACCAAGTTCCCTCCGCAATGCTAGAACTTCACATACGCCCATCCACCCAGCAAATCCAGTATCTATATGAAAGCGGTATGGGCCGCTCCCGTCCTGGGGAAGCTCATCAAGGGATGGAGAGGATATTGCCGTCATGGCAACGTCCTGTTCCCAACCTGGCATCGTGCCCATCTCCTTCGGATCGAAGAGGCCCTGCGATCCATCGAGGGGTGCGAGAATGTCACGCCTCCTTTTTGTAATTTAAGTCGGTGCTTCCAAACCACCTTTTTTTTGTACGATCCCACTCTTTTACCTACCAGTCAAATCAAATCATCTCTCGTTGCCCAGTTCCCAGGGCATCCTGTTGCCCGATTGTTGTCCAGTTGTCATGTACCCGTCGTACCCAAAAAGCACATGTTTAAACTTTGAGTCCATCGTTTCCGGCGGGGAGTTATTCCCTTTTTATTTCCTAGCCCCAGTTTTCAGAATCTTGGCTATATTACTACTGCGTTTAACTGCGAAATTTCTACCAGAGTAAGGGATATAGTAAATATAAACTAGATGGAATAAACCTCTAGTCATGAATCTACTTATTCGTACTCTGATATGTAGCTGGAAATAAATATATAAATGCCAACATTGAATTCAATAGAGTAACTTTGACCCCCTCCCCTTGTGCCAGCCCAATTACACACCGGGGTAGCCATCTCATAATCTCATACGCTGGGGTCTCATTAATTAGACCACTAATTCGAGTTCCAGATCGCAGAGAACCCGAGGAAGTGTCCAGGCTGGTGGCTTTTCATTTCCGGAGCAAGTTTCCATGTCCCCCATTACCCCGCGTCCACCAGGCCGATTTAGACGGCCGAGGCGTCTGCTCTCATATGATTTTTGGTTTAGCCACGTCCATCTGGTGATCCAACGGCTTCTGTGAGACCTAGCCACAAGCCATGACTTTGATTTACTTTGCAGCATCTAGTAAGAGTCTTTTGCTACATTCAAAAGCGCGAGATGTAATTTTGCAAAACTACCATCTGGCCCTCGGAACTGCAAGGTCATCACAATTAGGCGTCGTGACCGAGAGTCTGTCAAGAACACCAAGAATCGTACAACTTGCATCTTTACAATCAACCACCCAGTCTTCCGCTGTGTGCCTGCATCATCCAGTGGGCTGACACGGAGCCCATATATGTGGCCACGATAAAATATCATGCCATGCTAAACCTAATCGTCTGGTGACGTATGTGGCCTACATCTTGCTCGCGTATGACCACCGCCCTGCTATATTCTGGCAACGATGATGCCCTGCTCTAGTTTGTGTCTTGCTTCATTCTGTCACCATCCAGCTCTCGTAGAACATGCTGCGCGAGTGAAGAGCAGTCGCACCAGCTCTTTTTGATGCGCCAATATCGAAAACCTTGCCTGCATACTCAAGATGAAGCATGGACACGAAATGCGCCAAAAGACGCACAATGAGAACCCCGAGCAACCACTCATCCTCAGATTCGACCAAGTACGACGGCAAGATGGTCCTCTGGTCGGCGGGAAGAATTCCTCGATTGGCGAGATGATTACCGCCCTGACGAACAGGGGAATCAAGGTGCCGCCCGGATTCGCAACAACGTCCCGCATGTACTGGCAGTACGTGGGCAAAAACGACATCCAGCAACACGCCGCCAGACTGATAGCCGAATGGCAATACGGCAAGCTGACCCTCAGCGAGGCCGGCCACAAGATTCGCAGCCTCTTCCTCGGCGGCACCTGGCCCAGCAGCGCGGCCGCCGCCATCAAGGCCGCGTATCACGAACTCTGCGGCGAGACCAACCGGGAGAACCTGGGCGTCGCGGTGCGCTCCAGCGCCACGGCAGAAGACTTGCCCGAGGCGAGCTTTGCCGGCCAGCAAGAGACGTATCTCAACGTCTCGGGAGGCGATGCCCTCCTGGACGCCTGCCGGCGGTGCTATGCCTCGCTCTTCACCGACCGCGCCATCAGCTACCGCCAGACCCGGGGGTTCGACCACATGAGCGTTGCGCTCTCGATCGGCGTGCAGCAAATGGTGCGCTCCGACGTGGGCGGCGCCGGCGTCATGTTTTCCATCGACACGGAAAGCGGCTTCGACAAGGTGGTGCTCATCAACGCGGCGTGGGGGCTGGGCGAGAACGTCGTCCAGGGCACCGTCAACCCGGACGAGTACCAGGTCTTCAAGCCATTCCTGGTCGACCGGAGCCTGGTGCCGATCGTCGACAAGAAGCGCGGCGACAAGGCCGTCAAGATGGTGTACGGCGACAAGGACAAGGGCGCTCCGACGCGCAACGTCAGCACCTCCAAGGCCGAGCAGGCCGCCTTCGTCCTCGGCGACCAGGAGATCCTGCAGCTCGCCCGCTGGGCGTACACGATTGAGCAGCACTACCGCGTGCCCATGGACATGGAGTGGGCCAAGGACGGCGTGACGGGCGAGCTGTTTGTTGTCCAGGCCCGGCCGGAGACGGTGCACTCTGGCCGCGACGCCGCCGTCTTCAAGGTATACAAGGTGCGCAGCAAGGGGCGCGTCCTCGCCACGGGCCTCTCGGTCGGCGACGCAGCCGTCTCCGGAAGGCTCTGCCTCGTCGAAAGCTCCAGGGACTTGGACAAGTTTGTAGACGACTCCATCCTGGTCACCGGCACGACAGACCCGGACTGGGTGCCCGTGATGAAGCGCGCGGCGGCCATCATCACGGACCACGGCGGACGCACCTCGCACGCCGCCATTGTCAGCCGCGAGCTGGGCCTCCCGGCCGTGGTCGGCACGGGAAACGCCACGTACGTGCTGCACAGCGGCCAGGACGTGACGGTTTCCTGCGCCGAGGGCACGGCGGGCTTCGTGTACGACGGCGCGGCCGACATCGCCACCGAGACCCTGGACGTGTCCGGCCTGCCGGCGACCAGGACCAAGATCATGCTCAACCTGGCCAATCCCGCCGCGGCGTATCGCTGGTGGCGCCTCCCAAGCGACGGCATCGGCCTCGCGCGCATGGAGTTTGTCGTCAGCAACGCCATCCAGGTTCACCCCATGGCGCTCGTCCACTTTGACCGGCTCAAGGACGAAGAAGCACGGAGCAAAATCGCCGCCCTCACGGCGGGATACGCCCAGAAGCCGGACTACTTTGTCGACAAGCTGTCGCAGGGCCTGGCGACGCTCTGCGCGGCCGTGTACCCCCGGCCGGCGATTGTCCGCATGAGCGACTTCAAGACCAACGAGTACGCCGGGCTCGTTGGCGGCGCCGAGTTCGAGCCCGACGAGGAGAACCCCATGCTCGGCTTCCGCGGCGCCTCGCGGTACTACTCGCCTCGCTACAGGGAGGGCTTCGGGCTCGAGTGCCGCGCCGTCAGGCGGCTCCGGGAGCACATGGGCTTCACCAACGCCGTCGTCATGATCCCCTTTTGCCGGACGGTCCGCGAGGCCAAGATGGTCTTGGAGGTCATGGCGGAGAACGGCCTGGTCCGCGGCGAAAAGGGGCTGCTCGTCTACGTCATGTGCGAGATTCCGTCCAACGTGATTCTCGCGGCCAAGTTTGCCGACCACTTTGACGGCTTCTCGATTGGCTCCAACGACCTGACGCAGCTGACGCTGGGGGTGGACCGCGACTCGGGCGAGCTGGCGGATTTGTTTGACGAGGAGGACGAGGCCGTCAAGTGGATGCTCGGCCGTGTCATTGCCGTGGCGCGGGAAAAGGGGTGCAGGATTGGCATTTGCGGACAGGCGCCGAGCGATCATCCGGAGCTGGCTAGGTTTTTGGTTGACTCGGGCATCAGTTCCATCTCTGTTAGCCCGGATAGCTTTTTGGCGGTCAAGAGGCAGGTGGTTGATAGCGAGCGGGCTTTGTCTCGTAGCGTTTAAGCCCGGGCTGATGTATTCCACGAGACGAGGGGCACTTGATAATATATTCAAGTATATATTAATGTGGTCTATAGGTGCGGCTAAAACACGGTGTGACTAGACATCTTACATGATGACCTGGCTTTGTTGAAAATGTTTTTAATCACTTAATATATTACTATAGTATAATTTCGTGCAATATAGCGCCATAACTAGATACTTGGTCTGGTTACCTAGGTTGTGCCTCGTAGTGCAGGCGCACATTATAACCTCTTCGTGTGAGTCCAAGCGTTCAAGATTCAAGACATGCTGTTACATGCTGCGCATTGCTCTACCTATGGCTAGCGCAGGTGGCCGGCGTTGCATAAAGAGTCTGGTGACTAGTGGACTGCTCATGTTAGCATTCCTAGGCAGTAGCAGCAGAATTCCTCCACGAGTTGAAGAAGCGTCTGGTAGAGTTATGAATCCAGAATAGGGCATCTTTAAATCATCTAGGAAATCAATATTAGCTAGAATACATTTAACCTTGTCCCAAACGACTTGGGAAGTACGAATTCTTGCTCAACTCAACTTCTAATAGATTTATATGGGGATAGATATTACCCCTATATACATCAATTTATACCTTTTGCCCACTCTCGGCGTTGCAAGCTCCATGCAACGCCGACGACATAATCATGGTAATTCCCAGCAATATTCACTCTACAGTGCTTGAGCGCGGCTTCTCGAATAAAAAAATCCACCAAAAAGCAATACTTGCAAATGAACAACCAGGACCAGTACTAGTGCCAGCGGCAAAACATAGTCTTAACCCGCTATGCTATTATCAACATTGCCACGCGGCAATGGCCCAACGTCAAAGGTTACAAAAGGGCTACGGTCACGAGACCCAGGGCAAAGTCCCTCACCGACTTCTTGTATTCAAAGACGTCTTTGGTCAACGAGGCCTCAAGGGAAACCAAGGACGTGTCATACCAAAGACTATTAATAGATTAGTTGGGTCATTGGCTCCAAGCCCTTGTCACAGATATAGACCATGGCAAGATACACAACCTCCATGATCACAGCTGTTTCTCTACTTCTTCCCTCGCCATGTCACTCACCCATCTTCCGCCACCCTCCATTCCACCACCTACAACAAACTTCCACGCCAGAAAATACCAGGCAATCGCATTCCCCACGGTGCTCACCTGGTCGCCCAGTCCGGTTTTCGCCGCAGCCGCGACCGACAATGCATTGTAGAGCCCGACATCGGTAAAGAGTTCCATCAAATGAGTTGCCACGGCCTGCCAATCTCCCGCGTCGACGAGATAGCCGTTGAGCCCATGGTTGATTTGTAGAGGGATACCGCCGACAGCTGTTGCAATGATTGGGCGCCCTGCGTGCAACGCTTCCGAGACCTTGATTTCGAATCCCTCCGCGGTGGACAGTTGCAGGACCACGTGGGCATTCCGGAGGAGCATGTTGAGCAGCTGGTCATTGGCTTCGAGACGGACAACGATGATGTCCCTTTTTAAATGGCGGCATTTCGTGTGGATATGCGCCGTGGTTTCGTCGAAAGCCGCCACGCCGTCTGGATCGTCGATCGAAGGGTTGCCGCATCTGTAGAATATGCAGCTCAGCAACTTTGAATTCCCCTAGTACACACACTGACTGACAGGTTACCTACATAACCAGCTGGGGGGGACTACCGAAACCCGTCTGATCGAGTCGGCGCCGAAACTCGGCATACGAATCAATCACCGTGAGTATTCCTTTAGAGGGGTCAAATCGTGAGATTTGGATAATGTATTGGCCTAAGAGAGGTTCAATCTAACGCCACAGGCTATATTATTCGGGTTGCAGACTTACGAGCAGGCCATTCGAGCTCTGGCATGTCATGCAAGTGACACTCTGTGTTGAAGACCTGTTTGTAGTATTGAGTGTCCCAGGCGTTCAAGGTCTTGTTCAAGCCATCCAGCCTGTTACCAAATCAGTCAGCTATTTCACCTACTGTTTTATCAGCAAAACTCAACACTTGCCAGTCCGTAGTGGCGGGGAGGTAGGCCACTCTGTCTCGTGGTACGGCACGAGGAACAAATGCGGGAATGGGATGGCTGAGGAAAACATCTGCCTTCTTGACAAAATCCCAGACAAAGTCCCAAACACCCACTTGCGTAGGCTCATTGCTGTCAATAAGATCACTCCGGATTTGGATATGGGAGCGGAAGAGTATCGGTCGTTTTGGCGAGACGTGCTTGATCAACGGTATCAAGCCAATCATTTGCGGATCGTCAATCTACACCCGCAGCGTCAATACTTGGGCAACAACAACACAAGGCAAAGTCAGCAAAAAGAAATTGAGAAAACGTACAACAATGATATCAGCACCGCCTTGTTCAGGCCTACACAGCGGCCCACCGTTGGAAAGCCAGTAACGCTTCGCATTGTCGGTAATCCAGTCAATGATGGCGGACTTTTCTGCGTCCGAGACATGCTGGTCTTGACGAGCAACGCCCTGCAGGATATTATGGATATTCTTGGTAATGCGAAAAACAGCCTGTCGAGGCTTGGGGACTGGCGTTTAAGTATTAGTCTGGGATGTTTGCCGGCCGATGTGCGAGACGATATCAAGGCAATTGGAACTTGACAGAACAGGCGCTTACCATACCACTTCACGTCAACGGAGAGCAGTCGTGAAAGACGCACCAGCGCATGTCGCATAAGCGCAACACCACCTCCTTGCGGCGTGGCGCTAAAAAAGGCCATCTTTGTCCCGGCAGCTCGCAGCTTGTTCGCGTAGAACATGAGCACATCCCACGACTCCCTCGAGCAGGTCGTTTGGTAGTCCTGCAGACTGCAGAGTCGAATGATGCCTCCCGCATCGACCTCCACGCAACTATGCCAACCGATTTGGAGCGCGGGCGTCAAGGATGGGTTAAAGCACCTTGGTCACACTTTAGCTTGGCACGTTGAAGCTGTTTTCAAGGAGAGAATCCACGGTGCCTACATGATACACCTACGGGCCATTGAATCCGCTTGTTCGTCAACATTCTTGTCGCGCCATGGCGTCCTCGTCCAATTTTCCTCGGTAATGACAAAGGGAATGATGTCGAGTTGAAGCCATAGTTGTGAGCACAAGGTGGAGCAAAAGTCGCCCATGGCGCTGGGGAGGCCGGCGGCGATGATTTTGGCATCGGAGAAGTGCATGTACGACTCGAGACGTTTGATAATATACTCTGTAATGGAGGTTGCGCTCGTCAACTTGAGGTATGTGACGTGGAAGTCGACAAGTTGGACGGCATCACGGAAAGCAAGGGCAAGTGTCGTGCTATGCTCGTTGTCGAGCGTTGCAGAGATGCCCACGAAGCGTGTCTCAAATGATGTCAGAGAGAGTAAGGTCTTGTGTGGTGTTGAAATAGACGTTACCGTGAAAGTCATGTTGTGTCCGTCGACTGGGATGCCTCCGGTACGCACATTGCAGATCCAAGGGTGTTGTGACGCGCACGCGGTCGCAGCGAGCAGTCATGCCCTGTATCTCAACGGCTTCCTTGGCGACTAAATGCCGACATGGACATTTGTACATGGCGTAGGGAGAGACGTCGGGCGGCATGCTGTCCATCGTCACAACTCGTCAACGGTCGTCATGGGCACGTGAATCAAGATTGAAGCACACAAATTAAGTTTGCGCCACATCAACGGCCAAGACGAATGCACCTCGCCATGCCGTACCAGTATTGGAAATCATGCCACCTGCGCGCCTTTGCAAGTCCAGCTCGCTTATATAGCTCTGCCCCCGGGAACTCTTTGTAAACCACGCCTCGGCGAAGGAAACGTCGCGGCCCCTTGCAATGAAAGCACAATGCCTTCCGTCGATCCTTTCTGATGTTGATGGGTGGACCAACACGGAGCGCAAACCTGGCGACAATGAGCTCAGAAACCCGGCGAGGATGAAAGGTTTGGCTTTCATATCTACTTCAACAAGGATCCCCCTTCCTCTTTCGGTGCGACATGTGCCGCTGACAAGATGGTGGAACCAGGTGTTGCCAGTGTGTTGGCCCAAAATCATGTGCCAAACAAGACAGTTGCGTATTACTGGTAATCATGTAAGTCACGGTGTACATGCAATCTCGTCCATGTACTGCGGCCCAACGTGTCACGTTTACAGTCAAGATTGGCCCGTGGAGTGAGCGAGGCGGAGATGGCCGTCGGGATATCTGTGGAGAAGGTCGTATTTTGATATTTGACGTTGCGAATTACTCGCGATGCAGTCGGCAAATATCAACATTGCAAATTGGCATCAAGGCATGACATCGGGGAACGTGGCTTACAGCGATAAAATGGCCCATTCCATGTTGGCACGTTATCCACGATCTCCACCGAGGCCCGGCGGAGTTGATCCTGGTTGATGCCGAGCGTCGGCGTACTTTTTCTGACGCAATTCGAAGGGAACAAGGCATGCAACCCGGCACCCCTGCCTTACCGGCTCGCCGGGCCTCCATCTCGCCCTCGTGGGCTACCAGACGCATCTGAGACATGGGGTCGTCCCCAAGCCGGCGTGGTGTCAACCGCCCGACAAAGTTGGCCGAAACCCTCCAACCCCCAAGGCCACGATGTCTCAAACCCCAAGCCTCGTCGAGACGTGTCGGCCCGTCTCTAGTTTGCCGCTGCTTCCACGCACCAGGTCGTGAACCATGCGTTGGATCCCGGCGGCCCACGTACATACATGTATGCGCTCATGATTCCGTGGAGCGCTAGCTTGGCCCGTGGCACAATGCGTCGAACCCTGCATCGCAACAGACGGTGCCATCATCGTCTATATATGGGCGTCATGGCTCCGTCGCAAACCTGCTGTTCGCCTGGCCTTGCACTCGGCATCGTCTGGGCCCCGACATCATCATCATCATGTCTCTCTACCGCATCGGCGTCGACGTCGGCGGCACCAACACGGACGCCGCCATCCTCGACATCCACGCCTTCAACCAGCCCTCCCGCGGCGTCCTCGCCTCGCACAAGGCGCCCACGACGCCCGACATCACGAG